CACCTAAGTTACTTACTTTTACTAAGACTACGCTAAAGTACTTTTTTTATACTAGTGCATTCCTAACAACACTACTTAGACATGTTAAAAGAATGTTAGATATAACTTATACCTTAAGCTTTTAAATAAAATGTAACACTTTTTAAATAACATGCTATAGCTATATATAAAGTCTTTTAAAGGATAGTAAACAACTAATAAGCTAAATAACTTTTATAAGCTAATTCTATAGCTAACTTATAAAGGCTAGACAATAATAAAGAGTAACTAGGTAATTATTAAGTGTAACGGCACAGGCAAGAAAATAGGTCCGAATGCGGTAGGAATCCACTTAGAGGCATATGGGAGTGCGTGGGGACTTAATGACCTGGGAATCCTATTAACACCTATAGGCCTTGTACAAAGGATATCAGAACATTACTAAGCTAGCTAAGAGGAGAGGTACGACTAAATACTTAGGAGGAATAGGGGTAACTACAGGGGACAGGGTCGAGTCATGGTCGGGATCGATACAGGAACCCTTCGGATAGGTTCCGAGCGACCCGAGATGTAACGATTCGTGAGAATCGTTACATTAAGCATATACTTAAGTTAGATGCGCAAGGATTCTCCTTTTAGCTAGCTGTTATAGCTAATATAGCTAATTCTTTACATACTAAGCATAATCTAAGCTATGTTAGCATAAACTAGCTTATTATATTTATAAAGTGTTATTTAAAGCTTAAAGTAAAGTTTTAAGTGTAAGTATAGTTAGTAAATATCTAGTGTCGCGTATACTGAGAGCCTTGGCTGGGGCTCGGAGCCTAGGACTGGGGCTCAGAGCCTGGGACGCAGCTCGGGATCTCGAGATATTATGTTCCGAAGCTCGGTGTATATAAGAAGAGCCTTCAGCTCTCTTAGATAGGGGAGTCACTTCATCCGATCTTCTGAACAGCTACTGCCAGGCTATTTTATCCTCCACATCTAGCCTATTATAAAGCTTATTTTTTTTAAAGTTGTATGTGTTATTATTTTAGATATAATACTTAGCTTTAATTTTTTTTATAAGGCTAAAATAGCTTTAAATTACTTTAGAATTCTTATAACAAGCTTTTTTATAGTTATAATTATAGTTAAACTTTACTTTATGCTTTAAATAACACTTAATAAATATACTAGGCTTGTAACAAGTCTCATGATTCGTTCTATCTCGGGTGGCTCGGAACCTATCTGAAGGGTCCCTGTATCGGCCCCGACTATAACTTAACCCTGTCTCCCGCAGTTACCTCTATTCCCCTAAGTATTTAGTCGCACCTCTCCTCTTAGCTAGCTTAGTAGTTTTCTAATATCCTTTGTACAAGGCTTACAGATGTTAATGGAATTCCCAGGTCATTAAGTCCCCACGCACTCCTATATGCCTCTAGGTGGATTTCTACCGCATTTAGACCTATTGTCTTGCCTGTGCCGTTACAAGGCTAGTTTATGCTAACATAGCCTAGATTACACTTAGCGTGTAATAGATTAGCTACATTAGCTATAGCTGCTAGCTAAGAGAAAAATCTTTACACATCTAGCTTAAGTATACTTAATAATTAACATACTTTATAGGCGAGTTGCTTACACACCTAAGTTGCTTACTTTTGCTAAAACCTTACTATGCTACTTTTCTTATACTAATGCATTTCTAATAACACTACTTAGATGTGTTAAAAGAATATTAAATACAGCTTACACTCTAAGCTTTTAAATAAAATATAATACTTTTTAAGTAACATGCTGTAGCTATTTATAAAGTTTTTTAAAAAATAATAAGTAACTAACACACTAGATAACCTTTTTAAGCTAATTATATAGCTAACTTATAAAAGCTAGATAATAATAAAAAGTAGGTAATTATTTAGTATATACTTAAGCTAGATGCGCAAGGATTTCCCCCCTAGCTAGTAGCTATAGCTAATATAGCTAATTCTTTACACGCTAAGCATAATATAGGCTATATTAGCATAAACTAGCTTAATATGTTTATTAAGTATTACTTAAAGCTTAAAGTAAAGTTTAAGTGTAAGTATAACTATAAAAAAGCTTTTTATAAAAATTTTATAGTAATTTAAAGCTAGTTTAACTTTATAAAAAATATTAAAGCTAAGTATAGTATTTAAAATAATAACACATATAACTTTAATAAGATAAAGTTTATAATAGGCTAAATATCTACTAAAGTAGTTATTATAAGTTTAAAGAGATAAGAATAGCTAAAAGTAGTCTAGCTAGGTAACTAGAAGTAGACAACAGCTATTTAAAGCATTAATACTAAAAAGTAGGCTATTTTACTTTTTATTATCTTTTAAAGTAGCAACTACTTTTTAAACTAGTATAAAAAAAATTTACTTTAAAATTAAGTTATTATAATTTTTAAGCATAGCTAGACTACTAATTAGCTTAGTTTAAACTAGTTAAAGCACTTTAATACGCATATAAAGAAGTGTACTATTAGTAGCTACTATTTACTAGTTATTAATAGCTATAAAAGCTATAACTTACTTTATTTTTAGTAATACTATAAAAATAATAAAATTATTACTATTTATATACTTTTTTACTTATTACACTTTTTATAGCTACTTAATGTAGGTTATTTTACTTTTTTAAAAAAAGTGTATAAGCGCTAAGCTAAGAACTTTATATATACTTAAATTACTTATATTATAAAAATAAAGTTTTTACTATGCTTTAAAGTAGCCTATAATGCTATAATTACTTTTAGTAATATTTAAAAAAGGTTTTAAGGCGCTAAATTAGTTCTTTTTAACTTATAAAAAGTTATAATAGGCCTTAATGTAAAGTTGCGCACTTTATTACTACTACTACTTATATATAATAAGCTTTAGTAGTTATAAACTTTAAGTAATACTCTAGAACTTAAGTTATAATTAATACTTATAAAAATAAAAATTTAAAAGTATATAAATAGTTTACTAACTTTTATAGTTAAGGTGTTTAAAAAAGTTTTAAAGAGGGTAGTAATAATTATGCATAAGCTAGTGTTAGTATAATAGAAAATTACTAAGCTTTAAGCAGCTAATAAGACTACTACGCAATATAAATTACATAAAAGAAAGTAAATTAAGGTAAAAAAGACCTTAATAATTTAAAAAGGCCTGCGCTTAACAGCTTTAAAGGAGTTTAGAGCGCGCAGTAACAGAAAGAAGGCAAAGAAGTAGGTGTAAGCTAAAGTAGGTAAGCTATCCTAAAGGCGCTACAGACAGTGTAATTAGACTAGGTATAACGCGCAAATGTGTAAGTAAGAAGTAGAAGTAGTATCTAAATAATATTCTAGGCTGTACTGTACTATATAGTGCTAGAGCGGGTTGTTATAGGCTATAATAGAGTTTGTTAGGGTGGGGTCTTGGCAAAAGTAAGCAACTCAGGTGTGTGAGCAACTCGCCTATAAAGTACGTTACTTACTTTTTATTATTATTTAGCTTTTATAAGTTAGCTATAGAAGTAGCTTATAAAAGGTATCTAGTGTATTAGTTATTTATTATTTTTTAAAAGACTTTATATAACTACCGCTTAAATATAAGAGGCTAGTACCTAGAGGTATTAGCAAGAGATTAGCTAGTAGCGTTAGGAAAAGCATAAAGTAAATTGCGGCAAATTGCAGAAAGCTATAGCAAAATGCGGTAAACTACAGCAAGTTGCAGCAAACTACAGTAAATTGCGGCAAACTATAGCAAACTACAGCAAACTACAGCAAACTACAGCAAACTACAGCAAACTACAGCAAACTACAGCAAACTACAGCAAACTACAGCAAACTACAGCAAACTACGGCAAACTGCGGCAAACTGCAATTAACGGCAGTAGATTACAGCAACAGGCAGCAAGCTCTAGGAGACATTAGTTTTGTTGCAAGTAGCTCTACGTCTAGAGAGGGTTCTAGGGGGTGAACGCCTCTAGGAAAAAAACTGCTTTATATACTACTATTATATACTTCTTACTATTCTAAGCTCTGCCTTTGTATAGAGAGGTTTCTAGAGAGAGAACGCCTTTAGAAAAAAAGCTATTTTATATACTACTATTACTACTACTATTACTATTACTATTACTATTACTATTACTATTACTATTACTATATTATACTTTAAAAGGCTAATATTTAGTTTAATACCTAATTTAATAGGTTTTTAATATATAGAGTATTAAGTAGATTAATTTGCATAATAGTACTAATAAGTAAGTATATAGTTAGTATTAATTTTATTTTATATTTTAGTAATAACTTACTTAATTTAAAAAATACTTTTACTTGTAATGTCTTTTTTCTTAATTTTCTTCATTTAACTAATAGTATAAATATAGTGCTATAAACCTAGCTTTTTACTTTTATCTTTTATTAAGTATTATTAAAGTTATTAGCTGTTAAATATTCTTTATTTATATCTAACTTATCTAGCTAAATATTAGTCTAACAAATTAAATTTATAAAGAGAAAATATAGAGGTTAAAATAAGATTTAAAATAAGATTTAAAATAAGCGTTAAAATAAGCGTTAAAATAAGCTATTAGTTATCTAATTTAGATTAGAACTAATAGAGGTAATTAAAGTTAAGGTAATTAGAGTTACAGTTTTACTACTAATGCATACTCCTTACTATTCTAAGCTCCGCTTTTCCAAGACATTTATGAATTAGCGTAGTAAGTTATAAGTATAGCAATATTTGTTGTGAACAAGAGCTTTCTGGTTGCTGAAAGTAAAAGTACCCCTTATTTGTCTCTCCACAGGGTGTCTCGCTACGCAGGGAGTGACGTTACATTGGTTTTATTTGTAGTAAAACAGTATAGGATAAAGCTTAAAGTACTGAAAAGGAGGTATCAGATGGTATTACTAGATGAATCCTGAAAGAGATTTGGGAATTCAAGAAAGGATATATAAGTATCAGGGCACATAGCAAAACTTAATGTACCTAGCTCAGACCGAAGAGTCTCTATATGGAACCCAAAGTGCTTTTTAGTTTATTGTGGCACGTTAGCTCTCTACCCGTCGCGCCATGACAGGAAGTTACAGTTAAAGAAATCTCGCTGTAACATGCATACTACAAGAGGGCAAGATTTATGCCGATTTCCGTACATAAGTGACCGGTCCATCATAGACATGTCTGCCTCGGAAAAAATAAAAGAGCAAGGCAAAAATCATTGTTCCTCCAAACATCATACTGCTCCAATTCATCAATTCCACAGTCGGCTTAACCATCCCAGGCCAGAATGAGAAGAAGAATATGAAAATCAGGAAGACGAGGGATATGAGGTTGATTGGGAGACCAGTGCGACCGAGTTTAAATTCCGATGGCAGGAGGGGTTCACCTCGGATTCGCTTTAGGGCCATGCAGGAGATAGACACTATATATGAGGACATGAGAGCAGCAGAGCCCAGTGATGCAATAGTGTTGAATGCAACGGCAGAACCGAGGTTGATTAGAGAAAGGAGGCATGCAACTGCGAATGAAAAGCAGACGGCGTTGATAGGAACATCCCACTCTGGTGGTACCTGAATTGTGTGAGCGACGTTGCAGTGGTGGTGTGCCTAAGGGCTTACATATGCGAAGGTCTCGTGGAAGGGGACGCCCTTGTCTCTCGCAAAAGCGAACAGCTGACGAGAAGAAGTAGCTGTGACAGAAACTGCAGAAAAGGTGGCCATTGAAATGACCACTGCGCCCATGAGAGAAGCTCCCACAGCAGATTTTGTTGTGTTTTGGAATACGTATAGGAAGGGCTGCCTTGTCGGGGACTCTAAGGCATCCTCGACGTTTCCGAGGACGCAACAGTAGGTAATTATAATTATCCAACCCATGGCGCCGTTGACCAGTATCGACCATATCATAGCCCTAGGAAGTGTTTTGGAGGCATCGCGAAGTTCTTCCGATAAGTGGACTGAAGCGTCAGCTCCAATAAGGGGCATTGCAGTCCCTATAGCACCCACGATAGTAGCAAGACCCTTGCTACTCCAGCCTCCAAAGTTGTTGAAGGTCGTGAACACGATGCTTGCGTCGGCAATAGGACCCATGACCCACAGTACAGCTAGGACAGCAAAGAACCCGCAAATGTGAAGGACCAGAATGACGGCTTCGATCAAAGGGAGTTTCTTCGCGAAAAATGTGTTGAATGTGACATTGAAAGCCGATACGGCAATCACAAGTAGTGTCCCGTGCCAAGCCTGGAAGACGTAGTCAGGCTTGTTGATGACGATTAGGCCTTGAATCTGGACGCCCGCGAGGAACGCCGCTCCAGCAGAGCTGACCTGCCATCCGAGAGTACACAACCAGCCTATGAGACGTGAGTCCAAGTCTAGACGATATTTTTAGTCGAACCCACCGATCACGTAGCTTAAGAACTTCTGAGCTCTTGCAGGGGCAAACTCGCTGATCTGTGCAGCACACTTAGGGCCAGTCTTACCACGGAATTCGGGTAAGTACGAACCCAGTGATATTGGCCTCCCGAAGTTGGTGCCATGGATCCCATCTCCGCCATCGAAATAGTGACACAAATGAATCCCATCCAACTGAACAGGTACGTCCAGATCAGACCTCCCGTACCACCGTTAGTAAGTCCAATTCCTGAAGTGCTAGACACTGGTCAATTACAAAAGCATCCAGAGTAGCGCTTTCAGTAGCGCAAATACCTCAAAACAATCTCCCAGCATGCCATGAGAATCATGGAGAACCCGAAAATGGACACGAATCGAAAGTTGCGCTGTTTCGAATTAGCAATTATAGCTGCAACATGAGATGGTCTTACTCGTAACTCTTGAACTTTACCCATCCTCCACATGTTTTGCCTGTCGGCACCGGTGCCTTTCTTCATAGATACTGCAGCCTCATCTTCACTCAAGTCAAGCTCATGAAGCAGAGTGTTAACGCCGATGACTTCCTTCGTTACTTCTGCCATGGTTAACAAGCTAGGCTAATAGGGCGAGGTGTTGCTATCGAGTGCAGACTTTGGTTAGACAGAATGAGGGACTAGAGCAAGCGCAGAGAAGTTGAAGAAATGTGCTTGGTAAGAGGTTTACAAGTGGGGCCCTTTCCCTTTGAATCAGAGCCGTGGTCACTCGGGCAAGCGAGGGTACAGCCCAAAATGGCGGGATGAGAAATATACGATGTTGTGCGACCGTCGGACGGTCCGAGCATGCTGCAAGAAGATTTGTTTGCGGATGTGGGAAGTCAATAAGTTTGACACCACTGACCATCCAAACGCAGCACAGCAAGGGACATGCAGAAACTCCACTGGGTCGGCTGTCGGTTCGTTCTCATTCCGGATAGGATGCACGCGTGAGGCGCGTCCATCTAGCGAATCAGGCTGGATCGTACTCACATTCGACCTGCAAGAAACCCCTCAAGGATGCACACCCCTAGCATCGTATCCGCGACGCGGCAAAGCCGTTCCTCTCTCATCGGGTTATTGGAGTTAACGACTTGGCCATGTAACACGGCGCTTGAACGATGTGATACAAAGAATACGGCCTAATCGTGCCGCGAAACTCAACCCCAAGATACGATGTCCGTTCTATTAAGGTGCTGAACAGTGGTCTCTACCGCACATCATCAAGAGGTCATTTTGTGCCAGGCTTAAGGCGGGAAATAAAGCTAGTCGCACTTCTATTTCACTCTGCGCTTTCGCGCGCGAAAATGCACTCGGCCCCAGGATAACATCTTCAGGTAAAGTATAAAAGGAATATGTCGGTTGGCTCACTCCTCTAGATGGCTACGCATCTGGTAGTGGGTCCCTTTCCTGCGTGGCTACGCACGCGGTAGGTGGATAGGCAGCTGTACGCTAAGCGTACAGCCTGTAACAGGGTGAGCAGGTAAAGATCTTCTTGTGATTAACTACTGCCCTCTCTCTTCGTACGAAGAAAGAGGGTTGTTAAGTACACTTAGCCCAACGTTTCAGGCAACTTAATTCAACCGTACTTATGTACGGACAGAATATATATATTCGGAAAATGTAAGGTTTTCAACACGCGTGGCACGCAACCATGCATGGCAGAGGACTTTTGCTTTCCCGATTCTTCTTCTATCGGCTCTCCTCCAATTAGAACTCAGAGATCGAACTATATTCCAACTAACGTGTCGGCTCAGATGCAGAAGATAATTCTGGGACGAACCCGGCCGCCCGGAATCAAGATTTATCGACTCCAAGCCCAGACCCAACGTCAGCTGAAACATACCACGTCGAGAAAAGTTCCCTATCTATCACAAACACAGCGTTAGTATTCCTATTTCGGCTTTTAGAAGAACGCGTGTTGCTATTGAATGTACTTCCCCAATGTTAAGGAAACGATTCTTGACTTTGATTAACCTCACCAATGGATATCTTTTGAGCTATTCTAAGTCGTCCTTGTTGCGATAATACCCACCCCTAAAGCGTTTATAATGACATTCCATTCCGATTTTGGAATGATGATGGATTTTGATGCGGATTGATTGCAATTAAGGCGGCTATCCTGCAAAGTCTTTTAAAATCCTGTTTAGGGCAGATTATAGTAGCTTTGGGAGTTAGCCTGAAAACCTGACCAGAGAGCTATCCCTTGGCGGGCACCAGTGAGGAAGGCCTGAAGGCTAGGGGATGTCGTAACAGGCTGGGAAATGTTAGGACTGAAACTTGGATCTATCACTCAGAACAGACCCCGGCAACAGGTAGCGTCGGAAGTAGAAGTAGCCAAGAGATGACTACTAAGAGAAAAGCATGGTGGATAGTGTGGCACGGGGATGCAAAGCAACAACGAAAGGAGAGATACAACATCGTCTTTGCCTATTGGTAGATATAAAGGGAACACGCTCTGAAGGCAGACACCTTCCCTTACAATTATGCTCCGAATAAGACTTCATCTGAATGCCTTTCAAACCAGCCTTTTGCGGAGCCGGGGAAGGTTTTCAATCCTCCCGAGACGATTCCTCCAAACAGCGACCCTTAAATAAAAGTTGAATACCGCCACGCTGGTAGGTGGCTGATTAGTATATGTCGGCAGACGCTTCCTTTGCTGTGCCACAATCAATCACACGCACCCATCATTCGAACATGGGATATCTTCTGGCCCCATGCAGATAATGTAGAGATGTCGGATTTATGACACACTGAGTGGTGTGAAGAATACTCACTGTCCGCATTAGAACTGCAGTGGGCCGCGCTGCAGTCATGGCGTTAAGACGGGGAAACGCCGGAGGCGCTCCGTGGGAATCGCAAAGGGTAAATAATCCGAACCGTGACAGGCCGACGCGGCCCCGGTACCCTTCCCCATTGGTCATATTCCACGACAGGCCTCACCGCGACTAGTGGAGAAGCTTTCCTCAAAATAAGCGATCTAAGGTCTGTCCCTGTGAAGCGAGAAATTTCGTGCTGAGAAATATGATAAGTACTTTTACTTTGCACCGCTCAAACTCTGCACACACTTTAGTACGTACCATATTTTCATATTATGCATGTGCTATAGGTGTTCTTGAACATGAAGGCACCTTCACTACGTCTGGTTTTAAAGACCTCCTTTTATGGCAAAACAGACTTCTCTGCGATAGAACCATTATCACGCTCTTGTTGCTATTAAAACTTATAGAATAGTTCTATCTAAGCTTGTAAACGTTACTAGAGTGTTTCAAAGCTACTATCAGCGCTGTGGCTGCTATCGCACGAAGATTCACACAAGGTCACCACGCGTATTAGTACCTTCAATGAAAATAATCATTCATCTAGGCTAGTGTGATACGATCCGACGTCTCTCATGTCATTTACTTAGGTCGTCGTCAAGGGCTCAGCCTGTGGCTGTGCAGAGCCCTAGCACACGAGCCGACCCTAGCTCTGTAGGCCTGCCCGCCTCCAATCACCAACTCAGCGCTCTAGAACTTCTTACAGAAATCGTCACCGCACAAGGTCATGGTCAGGGAGGGTCGGCCGTCCTCTCAGTTAGCGTGATCAAGGTGCTTGTCCACTTCTGAATATATAAGCTAGTTTAGTCGAGTTACTTGTATATTTACCTTTGCCGAAGCCTGGCCCGCTGAACCTCAGTCTTACCGCGCCACATTATAGGCTGTATGCTCGCTACACCTCCAAACTCCTTTATCACAAATTAAGAATATGCCAGCTTATAACGCTCTTGCAGTGACCCGCTCTCAGTTGCGGTCAGTTACCTAGCTATATCTTACCTTGCTACAGCGGGGTGCAGGCTAGCGTTGTTGCAGTAACTATAATCATTAGTTAGAAGAGAAGGTAATGTAGTTATTCGTATCTTTAATTAAGAGTGTACAATCCTTAGAACTTTAAAAGCAAATAAGGCGAGAGTAGAAAGTAAGAAGTATGTAAGAGATTATCATACTTTGTTTACTAGCAGTTAGAAAAGTAAACATAGTCGCTTTAGTTAAGAGGGATCTCACGTATATCATACCTAGGCTGTGCTGTAATAGATAAGAATAACCACAACCTTTTAAAAGCTGTTAGGTGGCCGTGCCTATATACTTTGACCGTTCTCGCTGTTCCCTAGGCCTTTCTATCTTTTTGTGCCTATCGTTCGCTAAATAATTATTACCATTGCGTGCGTTAACAGCAGCCTCCGCGCGAAACTTGCGAGTGAAGAGAGAATTAACTACGACTTGGATGTATAAGCTTTCCTTACTAAATGAAACGATTAGTTTAATAAAGTTCTATAATTTTTTCATAAGAAAACAAGTTTGCATTTCTAAGAACCTGTTAAATTACGCACTCGAAAAATGCGGGCTCGCTTTGGCAAGCCACTCCTGGATCCTTTGTATCGCGACGCGAGGCACACCCTTATATCTCTCGCTATCGTACGTATCATTAATAGCCCGCGCAAGGCGCTGAGCTTTGGCGATCGTGAGTCTCTTTGCATTGGCCCAATTCTCCCTTTTCACAAAGGCATCTGCCTCGCTCACCAGCTCTCGTCGCTTCTTCCGCACGGCTGGATCGTCGGCCTTTTCCGCATCGCAGCGCGTACAGTTACATTGGAAACCCCAAGTGTTCATTAAAGCAGTCTGCCTTGCGTCATAATCGCTCGACTCGTCGTAACTGTGGAAAATCTCTTCGCCGGCGGCGATGGGTCGAATGGCGCGGAGCACCATTAGGTCGCCAATGCATTCTTTCTTAGCATTGGCAATGCAAGAGTGATTAATGTAAGCGGACCAGATCCAGAGGCCGGTACTCGCGTTCGTTGCGCCTTCTTCGCCATACTGGCTGCCTGGACCAAAGGTGTTACGAGATATGATGTCATGGACTCGAAAGGTATCGACGACGGGGCCATCTTCAGTCCAGGACACATTTTTGCCGTCTCCTTGATAATCTCCGTAGAGATCCATGACTCTTTCGATCTGAGAAGAATTGCTGAGAAGCTTCTGTACTGTCGACTTGCTCAAGCCAACCGGGGACACTCTGATTCTGTCGTCGCGCAGGTCGTATGTCATCGCCGTCAAAGCCTCGCTTTCATGGCCCCAAACTACGCAGAAAGCTTTTTCACACATGATTATCCCCTCCGCAGGTATATCGCGGGATGCAAATAGGCCACGGCCTCGTCCTGGGCTATCTCTGACATTGGTGTTGTTGATGAAACTTGCGGCATCAACCCGCGGACGTGCTCGAGACAGGCCATCCCTAATTTTCTCCCAATCATATATTCCTGTCTCTTGCTCATGGAGGCGCATCCTAATCTTTCGCAGATTGGTACTTGCGTCTTTGTCGCCAGGCGTAAGCTTCTGTTGCTCTTCAAAGAAGCCCTTAGCCTCCTGATATTCGCCGAGATTGTATGCAGCGCAACCGGCACGGAAATAGGCTTTGCTGTCGAGATCCTTAGATCGCTGGTCTTGTCTGCCAGTAAGGGAGGCTTTCGCATCAGTCTTTGCTTCATCAAGTTGATTCAGAATGAGATTGACGTGAGCGCGATTGCGAGAGATATCTCGGGCCAGGTCGGGATTGGTATTGGACACAATCTCTTGCCGAGCGACCTTTAGGCCTTCAGTATATTTTGCGTGAGCTAGCCAAAGATCTTGTTGTTTCAGCGCGGCATTGCCCCTGTCTTTACACGTACTCGCGACTTTCTCTGCTGCTGTTGCGTCCTCAGCACGACCATGTACTTCATTTGCCCAAGTCAGACATACTATTGGCAATTATCTCATCCCTACAGACAATTAGATCTGAAGGATGGTCGATCCGAATGGTAGCTTCTCCTTGATCGGTGAGAGTGAAATAGGGCTCCTTGATTACGAAAACGGATGCCGATTCTAGTACGTCCTCGTCGTGCCTTGACTTGTGCAGACACACCTCTAAGCGCTCCATCTCATCTCCCACTTCGTCTTTCACCATTGTCCATGACCTGGCGGCAAGAGTGACTACCGGACTCGCACGCTTGACAGTGAGCCGACGGCCACGATGATGAGTCTCCATTTGGAGATCTCCAAGTGTCACCGGTTGTAAGTCTTGGAGGGCGATGATGCATGGCGGGTACGGCTGCCCTACAGCAACAACTGGCAACGTACCTCCCCAACCTTTCGTCCGCGTCATCTCCGGGTCCGGTGCACCTCCCATATCTGCCATTAGAGACGCACCAGTTGCTCGGCTGATTGCGGCTTTCAAGTCTCTTGGTTCCCGAGCATGACCTACAAGTTCGGAACATTTCTTTAGTCGATTTTTGACGGTGTTCCGGATGCGCTCCGCTTCTTCCTCGGTGAGATAAATAGTGTTTCTTTCGATCTGAGAGGCCATTGTGAGAGACAAGTGTCATCAGAGCTCTAGCACTAGAACGGCTCTGACCAGTTCATGTAAAAGGTGCTCACAGCGGATTCCCAGCTCCCTCTTATAAGGGACCCCCATTCGCCCTATTTAGAGTGTACTCATAGAAAGAGCCAAATAATTCTTTGTAAGGCTGAGGAAGGCCTCCCAAGGAGTAGGGGTAGGAGGCGGAGCGAGAAGGGCGGAGGGCGAAGGTGAAAGGGCGGAGGCAGGCATCCCGTTCCTTTGTACTCCTGCGACGCAGCTACATACTAATTTGTACGGTGCCGAATTTCTACGTACTTGTCGAGTTTAAAATCATTCAATTACAACTCCAAATCATGAGTAGGGGAATAGAGCTACCCCCACATAAAGATCGCCATTGCAAAATTGCATAAACGTGTCATCCATGATCGGTGCGAATATCGATATGAGGGGTGGTCCGTACCCCAAGTGGAACGTCGGCAACGCTAAACGGTCTCTCGGACCCCAACTTGCTTCAGCACAATTCCCTCCGAACTCTAGGAACTGGGTCAGTCATCGTCAAAATAGACCACACCTATCGATTCCTTCCGCTCTCGACTGCATGATTTATCCCCGATCTGTTCTGTAAGAGAATGATTGTTCCTCTTGCTGCCTTTTGACTCGCCTTCGCCGGTCGTCCTTGGGAGTAGTTTATTTATAGTCCGTTGTCTCAAAACAATAAGCTGACTCAAACGACGCAGTATCCCGAGATGTTGTTGTGACTTCAGATACTGAGGGATGCTTCTCGTCCACGCAACCCAGCCGGCAGATCAGCTTGGACTTCAGTGCCGAAGTAAGTGGCGTGGTTAGCTTCAGCATCAAAACCGACACGGGCTCACCATTGCTGTCTCTCGCATTCGCTGAATCTTCATCCTTCAGGCGATCTATATCTCATGACGCCGGAGCCGTACCAAGCCAAGACTACAATACGGCGCTCAACGTCAGCATTCTTGAAAATTCGACATTCTGCCGCATGCCAAGTGAACGATTTAGATGTGGCTTCCGATTCATGCCCATCAACGCACTCAAATAAACGCAAAGGTATGGAATATGTCTTGCGAGATTTGTTTTGCGCCCGATATGTCGAATTTGTGGGATTACTCTGGATACTTTTAGACTCCAGATGACAACCTGCTCATTCGAACATGGAATGATGGGGCTTATACCGTTCAAACGAACATCGCATCGCAAGACACTTGTCGATTTCCACCACAGGTACAGCCTGACTGGGCGTACAATGCTTCTCTCGGTGTCGCTACTCCGTTTCTTCTCGGTGGTACGAAGCGGGATCCCACTGTTTGGCGGAGAGGTTCTGGGGTTCAGGGATCGAATTCTGCTCTCGGCCGTCGGGGTTGACCGCTTTCGAAAATCCGCTTGAGATGTTATTCTATCAAAATAATAGTACGGGAATAGTTCCATTTGCAGGACTAGCCACGGAAAATTTCAGGGTAAGGAACATGAGTGATACTTATTTCACATGGGGTTTACTAGCTGTGCATTACTATGCCATCTTCACCGGGAATGAGATATGGTTGGATACGCATTGGGAAGCCATAAATCGAGATTTGGAGTTCATTATTGAAGCCCTGGATAATGAGGTAGGTCTGCACAACCAAACGGCTGGGGTCGGCAAGGTGGAGGTGGATACAACAGGGCGTTGAATGCGCTGGACTACCAGCCCTGACTTTGTTCACTTCGTTAGTGCGGTCATGGACAAATGACACGAAGATTCTCATAAAAGCTCACGAACGTAGCGACGCAGCAATGCGACTGAAGGCCTCATACAACACCTTCTATGGGGCGCGGAAGTGAATCTCTTTCGCGACAACCAGATCACACACCTCGCCCCCAAGATGAAAATGCCCTTGCTATTCTCCTCAACCTCACCAACTCCTCGCAAACCATAAGCATTAGCTCCATTGTAGCAAGTGGGCGGTGATATTACCGAAGCGCAGCGGGTAAAATTTTGGTGCGAGCTACACGGGTTTCGGTCATGGATGGAGCTCTGGGCCGACACAGGCACTCACAACGAAGGTGCCTTGGTCGGAGATTGTCGGGTGGGAGGAGCGAAAATGCACACCAAGGCCTGGAGGGTTGAGGGAGGTACAGAGCGGGCGAGGGTCTACTAGGGTGTTTTGACGCCAATTGGCGAGTGAAAGATGATGAAGCGGGGAGGATACCGTAGAGACTACATTTAGAACGCCGAAGAGAGCCAGAGGTAGCTGGTGATGCGGTAGAGTTGCGAACAGGTCACCCTCGATGCGGTCGAGTTGAAAGACGTATGGATTGCCGGGGTTGGGTGGAGGGTTGTTCGAACGGTAGGGTGTACATGATGACCAATTGACCAATTGACCCTCTTGCTAGAACCAAAAATAAAGCAAACCAGATGGAAATCTCTATCCTAAAATACCGCTGCCACGTTCCACTTTAGGTGGCGATATGACATATGGTCTTTGCGACCATTCGCTGCTGACACCAGGGCGTAGCCTTGTTGCGCGCGCAAATTGCACATCCGGGGCAAATAAGCGAGAGTTCCTATCCTAGTACGAATCGATCCAGGTCCACACTTCCCTAAAATAGGGAAGCATATCTTCAACCTTAAATTCTCGCTCATTATCCTAGCCGTGACCCGCCACATCGACAATTGAGGCGTTGACGACCTATTCGCTTAACTGCATGCAGAAGCGACAATGCCCGGAAGCTATACCATCCGGGCCACCAAGTTTCTTTTCTGTCAACCCCGGCATCTGGGAACCCGACGCTTGATTGAACGTTACTGTGAGGCATGACATAAAGGCTTCTTCTGATTCGTACGATGTTTCGACGGGAGGAAACGTTTCCGGAGATCAGCTCGTTGAAGTCTCGATATTCCGTTTTGGGATGGAAGACGACACTGGATCAATTGATAGAGGCTGAGTACGATCTAGGAGGTGCGTAAGTCTGGGCGCTTGAGAGACAGCTGCTGTTGTGGTCGTGGGTAGATGATGTTTAGCGGGTTGGGCTGTGCAAGATGGACGAAAGGCATCCGAACGGAGGTGGAAAAGGAGAGCTGTCAATAATCCATAAGAAGCGAACAGTTGGGCCACTTCCATACCTGCTCTTTCTTCTCTTTTCCACATGCCCAGAGATCTTCAAGTTGCCCAGCCCTCTCTTCCACTTCAATATCCACCAACATGCTCTTCTTCGTTTCCCTCGCCCTTCTTGGCGTAGTCAGCTCAGCAGTCGCCCAGAACATGTCCCTGTGTGACAAGTATACAACGGCATTGCTCATGGAAAACAACGCGACAAACCAGTACACGCTCTTAACACTTCTTGTGAACACGGTCGTCATTGGCAATTATACTCAACCAAACAAGAACGCGGTCCCTGGTATTCTAGCCAAGGGGATTTACAAGGGCGAGGAGGTTAATCTGCTTCAATACTTCGACGGTTCCTTAAAGTCTAGTAATGATGGAGGAATGTCGGGCGTGGCTGTCAACTTCCTCGACGATGGCGGAGCAGCCCCATTGATGATGAACAAACCTGCCAATGGCATGAATTCGCAACAATAGTACGTCTTACTCCCCTCTTAGGAATTATATCCTGTTAACGTATGGTTTAAGTTTCCTCTTGACCCATCTCTATCAATTCTTCGGCAAGCTTCTCGGCTGCTCGGGTTACAGCATGATGGGATTCCCGAAATACTCCGGCGATAATATGGCCTCGGTGCACGCCTTCATGGACCTAGACCCTTCCGAACTCGGGTACTTCATCACGCAAGTCGGGCTTGCAGCGAGTTCCTTTGGTGTGAGCTCTGACGATGTCAATGCCGTTGCCATGGCTCTGCAGAAGCTGTTTGGATACCGGTGTAGCCCGCCAGCCATAGTCATTCCGGAGATGGGGCCTACACTCAATAGTATTTGTCAGAATGACAAGTGTCCTCTGGATCCGATGGCTCAGTGCTCAGCATACCCGAATAATGGTGTGACAATGGAGCCAATGATGGCGAATGGTACAAATATGTCAATACCAAGCTCAACGACAACAACGCCTTCCTCGACTCTAAAGGCCTCATCGACTACCACTACTGCGACTAAGTCTACAGGCGGCGCACTGGCGGAGCGCGTTAGTATGGGTGCCGCAATTGGCATGGTTGTTTTGGTTTTGATGGTTTGAAGGAAAGATTTTCTGACGCATCGAGAGGATTTTGACCGGATCCTCAAATCATAAATGGATAGCAATGATTTGATTGTCAACTCCTCAACCCGTTGCCTGTTTCTGCGAGAACTCCGTGAATGAGAAGTGTTCATGTATTCCTGCGCAACATAGAAGAAGTAGCGCATCGACGAGGTTAGATAACGCCCGCTAATACGCAAACCACGTGTGCACATTAAACACTTCACTATATAACATTTTGAGCATTAAGCGAAGCGGCTGAGCCTGCACGGCTCGACACGAGTGGGACGGCTTTTATAAGCTCTACTCATCAGTTCCCAAGGCCATACATGAGCTCCATCACTACCCATCCAAAAAGACCAGCGGGGTTTGCGAAAGCCATATTGGAGGCGCCGTTTGTGGATTGTTGAATAATAGAGGTCTAGCACAGGCAAATAATTAGCGCTACTCGGATTGCTGGCCATGAACAGGTTATTGGACATACAGTTGTCGGTGTTGCCGCAAATGTTCCGTTTGGAGCTTGAGTGCTCGAGCTGCCTATGGTGCTCGAGGCAAGTGCTTTCGTCCCGGTCGTTATAGCAATTGAAGATGTGGCTGATGGGGCAGCTCCAGAGCTACTTTGACTGCTAGCTGCTATCGCCGGTCCGACATCGGGCTGCTTCCCGGAGAGGGGAGTTGTAGAAAGATCACAACTCGCTCCAACTTTACTCAAGGTGTTTCCATACATTTTCCATATGTCCTCATTGTCAGGGCCAGAGCATTGGAGACAGTTTTTGTAGTCACTGAGGAATGCTTCGTTCTCGCAAACATTAGCATTGGCTTTGGAGAGCGTGATCGCTTGTCCTACAGGCGGGAATTAGCCGGGAGATGAAGACAGTTGGAGGTTCCGTACCGCAGTTATCGTGGCAATTGTAGGCTGGAGTTCCGGGCTCCTGTCGTATCAGCATTACAGCGAGCTCATGTACCTCAACCACTTCCCTAGCTGCGACGAAGGCGATCGCGAAAAAGGCGCCGGTGAGGGAGATGAACACCATTTCTACAGTTGAGATTTAAGACAGAGGAACAATTAGTGTAAATATAGGGAGAGTTTATACCCTACCAGAGTGCAGAAACCGGGGTTTTGTAGCTCCAGGAGCGAGCTGTGCAGCCTAAAGTAGTGCAAACGGAAAGTACGAAGAAAGGAATGCCGGCATCGGGCATTCAACGTGCTACATTACGCCTCCCGGGTATGTTACGCGATCCAATATTCTCAGATAGGGTGTAAAGCACAGAAGTGGAATGATACGGATATCAAACAACCAGGCCAGAATCGGAGATACGGGCTTTATCTGATCATATGATAAGATTAGATGCACGAGAGAGAATTGGCATGCGACAGTGGCCGCGTATTGGGTGGGATGGCTCGGCGGTTGCTTAGGTGCAGCATTAGCGCAATCAGATAACTTAATTCCCTGTCAGAACGCCGAAGCAGATGTTCAACGTTCCAATGGGAATGCGCTAACGATTGAAATGTGCTGACAGTCTTCGCGGTAGTGCGCAGTTGCCGTTGGCGTGTGTCTAAGAACCCTTCCATTGGAACTAGTTTTTGCATGCTATTCGCGCGGGTGGAGTTCTCAATATTAAACCATCTTGGCGACGTCACTAATCTGCCCAAGGCCCGACACCACTACCTCTCACAGCACACGCAACGGGCCACACCAGAGATTTCTAGGTGGAAGCCAAGACGAATAAAATTACATAACAGCAGCCTGCGCCATATGTCGACCCCACCTAGCCAACTCTCGTGCTTGAAGTGATGAAGATGCGCCTTGTTTCTGCCCTTTGCATTGAACTCTTTGTCCAGCTGGCGCTGGCGGATGATACACCTAAGCATGGTGAAGGTGAGGAAGGGAAGTCTATGGGTCCGGTTGCTTTTCTTTGGCCTGATGACCGAGTTTGGAATGCTACGTACGATAACGCCGGGCCATGTGGCAGTCCAGCTGGAGTGACAAACCGAACAATATTTCCTCTTTCTCAAGGCGCAGTGGCTCTCACTATTGCCGACGACTCTTGGGAGGTAGCAGTGAGGGTTGCGTTCTCGAATGGTATGGAATCTCAATCTGTCGAGTCGAAGGTGCACGCGCTAAGCGGATTTCCAGACCCAACTACACAGGCAGAGTTCAGTGATCAGGTTGTCAATAACGTTTCGGAGGTCGCACCGGGCCACCAGTGTTATAGGCTGAACCAGCTCGAGGGCAAAACGGCTGGCACTAATGCGACAATCCAGCTGGAGTATTGGTCGGAGTTCGAGGGCGAAAATGACGGGAAGAACCAGTCGTTCTTCGCATGTGCTGACGTTGTGGGTATAACCCAATTTCGATCAAGATATCTGCGTGCTTTATCATGCTGATTTGTTGTTCTTCAGACCTTTGTCGAAGCGAAGGACTTCACGCTTGCGGTGCCATGTTTCAACGTCACAAGTGACGGCTTCAACGAGCCGGCGCCCAGTAACACGCCCTCGTCAATATCTGCCGCGCCAACAAATGCGGCACCGACCACCGCCTCTCCTGTTCGAGGAACTTCGTCCGGCAGCCTCTCTATAGGGGCAAGGGCAGGGATTGCGGTCGGTTCGATAATCGGGGGTTTGGCCATCATCGGAGGTATCGCATTTCTGGCAATGAGGAAGGGTAGAGAGAGCGCCAGGAAGGAAAGGGAAGAGTACGAACTGCGGACTAAAACGTTGAGCACGTGATCCGAGGAGAGTGGAGGATGAAGGACGGAGAACGGCTGGCATTGATCCAATCGTCAGGAGAGTTGCGAAGAATACTAGGTTTGAAGTTTAGAGGTTCATATGCCTCTCTAACTTAACGATGTCGCGAATAGCCATCCCGCCAAGACTCCACTCCGAAGGACCATAGTAGCCTAGGCAGAGAGTGTGAGAGCCAAATATCTGAATTTATTTACGATCGGGTTTATTGGAGGGACTCCAGCAAGTCGCTAAAATAATCGCACCTGCCTACGCGCTGCTTTTCAGTAGAGCTGCCACCTATCTGGACACTTGGTCTGTCCTACTTTACGCCACCACCATCTTCCTATTCTAGAGCATCTGCATTCTCTTCTCCCCTACTACTTCTTTCTCTATGTCTTATTCTTAGGATTATTTTACACAAATTTAAGCGTGTATATCTCTTACATAGCTTCTAAGACAAGCTCCCTAAGGTTGCAACTTAAGTTAAAAAAGGTAAGGTCTTTTTAAAAATAATTATAACAGAAATTAAGAGAGAGCCTGTTAAGGCCTATATAGACATAATAACAAGAGCAATAGAGATGTTAGTAATAGTTCCTATACCCTGCACGCCCTCCATCTACTTGCACCCTGTTCCTTCTGTAGTCGTACACACCAATCACTAGCAAAACCGGCTTCACCCCGCTTTACGAATTTAGTAAAGTTGCCATTATCATAGGAACATGATTTGTAGGTTCAAGAAAATAATTCTCCATCATAACTCGAGCTCACAACCCTACGGCCGGTGCGGGCCTGCCACCTCCCTGCAACTGGTGGCTATATCGGGCGTCAAATCCATTTCATTACTGTACCCTCACTTATAAGCATCCTTACACAGCTCGACCCGTTCTACATTGGCTCTGACTCTGTATCTACAATGAAAGCAAAATCAAAGCCCTATCAAAATAGACTCTATCCTAGCATGCCTGTGAAGTGGCTTGATATGTATGCTTCCCTCTATTTAATCAGCTTAACACCAGATAGTCCAAAGAAGTGGCAGCCTTTCCACTTAATTCTAGAGCTTCACCGTCCATAATGCCGTGGATGTACGAATCACCTATGAAAGTATATCCTTCTTCTAGCTCTGACTCCCCAGCAACCCCAGTAGTCCGATGACGCCGCAACACGAGTGGGACAGAGCTGCCCAAGACAACCGTAATAACATCACCTTCCTGACATCAAATGGGGCAAAATCCTATGTACCCACCTTTAATGACTGCAAATTTGCGTCCTTTCGTGACTATGCTCAAAGGCCGTTGAACGGACCTAATATCATCATCAAGACGTGCCTCCACCCGTGTCAGAAACCATTCTTGCCATTTTCGAACCGTGAAAGATCCGTTGGAATGGGAATGTGCCGAAAAAAGGGCCGACTGTCTCGATTTGGGTCTAGGAAGTCCTCCATACTTCCGCACACGGTGATCCAGAATGCTAACTTTCTCGAGATAGTTGTGTTACAGTAGATCTCCTCTCCGTTAGAGTTAATCCTTGCAAGATCATACATTTCGTTCAAAGGGGCCCCGTACGAAACGGAAGGGAGTCAAATACAGACCCCGTAGCTTCGATTTCATCCAGTACGATTGCCCTAAGAGCAATCCTTCCAGGAGCAATTATTTTCATATCAGCAGCTTTGCTTCCGCATGAATTGTAGAGGCGGAGGCGACCCAGCCAATTTAGCCACCGCGTGTAAGTTTTATCCTTCTCACATGAACTGGTCCAGTCAGGAACAAAAGAAGGCAAGTTCAAGTTTGGCTGTTCGAATGGGGGGATGTGGCTGAGGACCTCCAACTTTTTGCGCTCGACCACAGCTAGAGCGCTGGCTTCGAAGAGCTCTTCAACCGTATATGGTGAGTATTTCGGTTCAACAAGACGTTCGCATTCGCCGGTAGCCAGGCCTAGCATGCCATATACCTTGTCACGCATATCCTTTGCCTGTCGGAGACGGAACTGGCTGAGGATATAGGGGAAAGATATTTCATTAAGAAGCAGTCGAACATACTCTAGGCTCTCCATCACGATTAAAGAATGGAATAAGCTGAGTTGAGCCGGATCGTCGAGCTTCGAGCAACATCCATGTTGGTGGTGGAAAAAATGACGTACACTCCGTCTAGCTAACTGGCCATCAAGGACGTAATTTCCGCACTGAAACATCGATTCTTGGGCCAAAACCCACTCTTGAACAGTCCAGGCGCGAGACCACCATGGGAAACCGAAGAACTTCTTCAAAGCATCTTGGATTTCTCCCGAATTCATGCTCTTCCCCTTGACTTCGGCACTGGGGGTTAGCTTAGGATTGATGTGCAGGTTCTGGTTCTCTCCAAGTTTCCTCATGTATTCTATTGCGAGTTCGGAATTTTTCCACGACTCCCCAAGCCATATCACTACACTCCGGGCCTTTTTATAGATGGAGCTCATGAGAGGCACTCGTTTCTCACGCTCCTCTTGCTGGGATTGGTTTATGCAAAGTGCATCAATCCACAATGTTCGGTATTCTTTGGTGGAGCGTAGGTTCTGAAGAGCAAGGTAGAGATTCTCTGTGACTGCCATAGGATGTCCTTGAAGCTGGATTTCCCCCTGATGCATTCGATGACCCCATATGATAATGCTTCGTATGAGTTAGTTGCGCCGTCAAAATATACCAGACTTAAACTGCAAATGATAGCATTATTCTTCTGAAATGATGGTTCGAGATGCAGGAGCCTGATTTGGTTCTTATTCGGATCGAGGTCGGTATATTGCATTTTCTCGTCTCGATGAATCTGCAATATCGCCACACACGGATCTAATGTTCATCCTAGAGGGAGAATACCAGCAAAGTAATGTTTGCAGACCTAAATTATTAGCTACGAATAAACTCTACTACCTAAACTGTGCTGCAACGCCCTCACCAATGTGATTGGGGTGTGAGACGTTCACCGGAAGGCAGAATCCATGGCCGTGTGACCACAGCTGCAGGCTGAAGCAGATGTTAGGAGCTGTATTAGGGTAGCTGAGACAGTTTCTAAGACGCTCCACAGCATGCAGTCAGCAGCACGCGCAAGATTCCGTTATCGCAAACGAATTCAAACGGAGCGTACTATAACTAAGGGAGCGTACTTATTACCACCGCTAGCTAGGAGAGTAGCCGACCCGCTCCTGGGTTGTAAGCTCAAAATATGATAGAGAAGGCCCTTCTCGTGTAGTTATAAATCACGTGCCTGTGCTAACGGTGCTTTTCTGGATGCGAAGGTGGGGTGCTGCGACTTCGCTTCCGGGTAGGATGGTGTTGCAACCGCATTCAGGTTGAAGCCAGTTTCAGTAACGACAATTTCCACTCGAACAAGATATCAAACTCATGATAATTTCCATTAGCCTCGCAATCTTTAAGGTTTCCCGCAATAATCCAGCAGATCCTCTCTCCAAAAGGACCCCGATCCACTAAATTGGCCCCACTATGACTACCGAAATCTTTCCTCGAGAACCCAGTGCGCTTTCTCTCCCCTTAGCTTCTCCGCCACGTCCAAAACGTCGCGATGTTTCCACAACCCTAAACTACTACCGCGACCCGGGAGATGGCTCGCTTCCCACTCCAGTCTTCGTTGGGGGGTAGAGTGATTTCTCTCCGTATGGTTTAGTCTATAAGTGACGACTTGAACAGGGATACCGTGATAAACGAGCGACCTACAATTCCTACACCAGTGGTTGTGCGAGACGTCTCTGGCGAAGAAGACAAATATCGCTTAGACAGCCACGGTTTCGAGTTTGTGCGACATGAAAGCAAGGAGAAAGGATTTGAAGACGATGATGCGATTATTTCGCTGTACTATCGCGAGTGTGAGCAGATTTATAAGAGCGCGTACGTACTCACTCCCTTCATTCTTGCGCACAATCTTTACATAAATATCTTATCTCAAGTCCATCTGTTTCCATCGAAAATGGAACAGGGTAATCTGTTCTGATGCCCCACAGCACGGGCGCAACCTCCGTCCATATTTTTGGACACCTCGTCCGTCGTGGCCCAACCCACTGGCACTCTCTCGGAACCGGCAATGCCACGAAGAAAGGTCCCCTCCACCGTGTTCATATCGATCAATCTTACCACGGTGCCGAACTTATCCTCCGCAAGCATCTTCCAGATGAAGAAGTCAAGACGCGCATGAAGCACCGATGGCAAATCATCAACCTCTGGCGTCCTGTTTCCACAATCTTCAAAGACCCGCTCGGTGTCGCCGCTGCGCATTCGATCCCGGAGTCGGATTTGGTAAGTGCCGAGGTGGTTTATACAAAGCAACCTCCACCACTAAATCGGAATGAGACTTGGACGATATTACCAAGCGATAAGCATGAGTGGTTCTTCAAAAATGAGCAGGGGCCTGAGGATGTGTTACTGATTAAGTGTTTTGACAGTAGTGAGGTGGAGGGAATGGTGAGAAGGGCGCCGCATTGTGCGTTTAAGGATCCGGAGAGGGAGGGGGAGGAATGGGCGGATCGGCAGAGTATTGAAGTGAGGGCACTCGTATTTTACGACGAGTAGGTAGAACTTAACGATGATATTCTAGAAACAGGTCGAGGAGAATTCTTGTGCTCAGAGGAGAGCAAAGCTGTCGTTGAAATCAAAGTATGATGAATTATATATTCTACACACGAATCGAAGAGTAAGTAAGTCCGTTCCCTCTCATCTATGCTCTAAATCAGTCTGCCTCCTTCTAGTGAGTAAAACTCTGCTGCGTATTCAGCTTCACAAAGTGCTTGTTCTCCCTCTGCCACTGCTTCGAATACTTCACACCAAACCCATGGGCAAAGACCTCTCGAATAGCCTCTAACGGCATTCCCTTGCATTCCGGATAGCAGAAAATGATGAAGATCCAGCCGGCAACGCAAATCCCGCAGTAGAATCCAAAGGCGCCGGATGGGGTGATGCCCTTCATCATGGAGAGGAACGTAGATGCAATGATGATGTTCGTAGACCAGCAAGTTACGGTGTTCTAGGCAATGTGAGAAGAGGGGATAAGAGAGAGGCAGGTAGGATAAACCTACCAACATAGTTCCAACCGCACGAACCTCTAGTGGAATGAGCTCGGTACCAATCCATCCCATAGTAGCAACCCCAGAAGAGAAGAATGCAACGTAGCAGATAATTGTAACGAGCAGGACGATTCCAGGCCATCCCACCGTATCCGACTCTAGTTCTAGGGTGGAAAGGTTGATTGGAATAAAGTGGAAGGAGACGGCGGCAATGAGCAGACAAATTGCCATTCCAAGAACCGTGACTAGAAGAATAGCGCGTCGACCGAATTTGTCTACAAGGACCAAGTTTACCATACTAAACACCCAGTTAGTCCCGGAAACAGTGATGGCGACAGCTGTGGCGTTGTTGAAGCCGACGATCTTAAAGAGTGTTGCAGAGTAGTACATCAACGTGTTGAAACCACCCAGCTGCGAGACCGCCATGATCAAGCATGCAGTTAAGACAGCGCGACCGGTGGCAGGTGTAGTGAATATTCGGCGTAATGACATCCAAATAGAATCGTCGACCATGGTTTGTGTTGCTTCCTGGATGCTCATTTCGATACTATCAATCTTCCCACGACGCTGCTCCTCCGTGGAGGTAGGGTAGATCCTATTGAGAACCTTCATCGCCTCTTCCGATTTGTCGTGCGCTACAAGCTGACGCGGAGACTCTGGACATAGGAAAAGAAGGCCACCGAGCGCGATAGCCGGCGCAGCACCAGTACCAACAGTTGCACGCCATGCCTGGGAGGTGGCCGGATTTCCTGCTTTAGCAAAACCGGCACCAATAGCAGATGCAAGGAGTTGACCGAAAGTCACAGACATGTTATTGAAGGCAATCATACGACCGCGGTATTTGGCAGGTGCTAGTTCAGAAACTGCGGAATTTATTAGCATGGATCTTGAGGCATCCAGGAGTTGCCGAATGCTCACTATAAAGGGGGCAAACCATCGCTGCGCTACCAACTCCAAGACCGACTACAAACCTACCCACCGCAAATTGCGAGACCGTAAATGCCGCCGTTTGAAGTACGGTACCGATGACGAAGATGACACAGGCACACCAGATGGGCATCTTTCGGCCGAATCGATCAGCCGTGAAGCCAGCGCCGACAGCTCCAACGAGGGCACCACCGGAGGTGAGCGAGGTGACGAGCTCTTGTTCTGACGAGCTGAGGGTATGGCCGAGCGAGGTACCAATGGTAACGAGTACAGAGGAGATGTAGCCAGTATCATAGCCTAGAAGGTTGATCAGCATTTGAGACCGACAGTTTAATCAATGGGGAAATACCAAAAAGGAGTCCCCCGAGCGAAACGACGATGGAGATGAGCCACGCCGCTTTCGACGCGGCCGTTGCCTCGATGCCAGAGAGCTCAGCGATTTCATTAGCGCGATCTTGCGCGGAACCAATCTTTTCGATCTTCTCTGCATCGTCGAATTTGATTTCTTTCATGGACGAGGTCTTTGTGTCGGAAGCCATTGCGAAGCCGTATCTTAACCAAGAGCACCCAAATATATTCCTTATAAGATAAGAAGACAGAAGAGTGGAAGAGTTATTTTATCTATGAAATTCGAGTTGTGATGTGGAACCTTGTATGGAATTGTCCCTCTATTTAAACAGCCATTCGGCCTTCATCCGCCATCGGTTCCAGCCCTAGTGCGTGAATCGGCCGTGTCCAGGTAACACCACTATGAATCGAGAACGATTCTCGAATTGCTAGATCGGGTTATCCAATGTTCTTCCATGATATTCCTTAGCGGTATCCGCCTCCGCAATCTGGGGTTGATCTGGGGTTTGCATGGTGGGCAGTGGAGAAATGTCGGCGGCTGGGGGAAGATGTTTCCGGGATTGAACCTCGTGGCAATGTGTGGGAGTGCCGAGTGCGTAATTCAACCAGGTTTGATTGGCCAGGAGAATGGGAACGAGCGCGCGGGGAAATTGTCGGCAATGGTGGAGCCTTGAGTGTCAGGCCCTCAGTCCGCTCGGAAATGGCTGCTGCGGCTCTTTCGCGTCGGAACTACCACGTTCAGCTACCCAGATATGGGAAGTCTTTCCGCGTTGCAACAAACGAGTCAGGAACTGCTTTAACTTCTGCATTGCTGAATCACAAAAGACCTTTTGAGGAAATGGTGCAGGTAGAATATAAATCGTGATGTCAAAGGGGACAGCGCTTATAACACATAAAATCAGAAGTTGTTCCTTCCGCTGCTTGCTTCCGAAGTACGAGCGCGTATAATGCTAACCGGGTGGACTCAAGTATTTAACCCTCTTGCAAAATTGAAGATAAATTTTACCACAGGCAAAAGTTTGTTGTTAGTTACAAGAGTCTGCATAAATTTGCGTGGAATAGGGCATTCACTCGGGCGGTGTTGCGCGAAAGGATGCGGGCAGCATCTCATGACATTATTGCTTCTCAACTCAGTCACCAAGTTTCACAACAAGTGCCTCCTGGAGTGAATTTGCACCTTCTTGTTCCAGGAATGATAGCGCCCCAGCATATTGATCTAGTTTCAAATGTCTCTTCGGCCTCCATGGTAAATAAGCCCTCAATTATACCACCATAATAGATCGGAGAGAAGCGATTATGCTAAGGCTGTAGTATTTCCTCCAGAATTGGATCTAGGAAGTTCTTACTATTTTTGAGCAGGTAATGGATTACTTGTCTTCGCGCTAATATCGACTTCCCAGTGTTTCCAAGCCGTAAACATGCCACTTCCAACTCCGTGACAGCTTTGCCAGAGCCGGCCACTGGATCTTCTTAAACCCTGGCACTTGGTCCTGAAGGGTAAGCCTTTGCAATTAACAGAGGTTTCAAGACACACTGCCTCTCTGTCTGGTTTACAATACGTCAATATCAAACAGAGTAGAGTTATAACTAGAGCGCCGTCCAGGGACCAACCCTCTTGCCAGTATCAGGAGAAACGTTCAGAGGATGCAAATTTCTACTGCAAATTATGCTAGTCTCTATGCAAAAAGCATTCAATCATCCATCTCCGCGGCAACTACTCACAGTCGACCTCTCCCGCCTCCAAACTTTCACCGGCATCTCCCCAAGTAGCCAATTCATTGTCTCCAATCTCTCAATTTCCCAGTCCGGCCTACTCAACGCAAAGCCATACCTCCTCAACACACTTGCCAAAACCACAGTCTGCTCCAAATAGCTAATGTTCCTACCGATGCAGCCTCTAGCGCCAGCCGAGAAGGCAAGGAAGTATGGTTGTAGAGCTTTCCCTTGTTCTCCTAACCAGCGTTCGGGGATGTATTTGTCTGCTTGCGGGAATTGTACTTCGTTGCGATGGGCGACAAAAGCCGAGATAGCAACTGAGACGCCGCCGGGAATGTAGTCGCCAAGAATGTTTATGCCACCTGGCGGCGTTTCGCGGGGAAGACCATGTGGAGTGGGCGGGAATAGCCGGAGGGATTCGTCGAGGCAGGCACGAAGGTATGGGAGGTGTTTTACTTTGTCATAGCTTACCACCCCATCACCGCCATCATCCTCGTCATCATCATCTTCTAGTGCTCCATCCAGCTCCTCAACTAGTTTCGTCATCATTGTGGGGTTTTTAAGAAGCTGATACAGTACGTTTGTCATAGCGATGGCAGTTGTCGCGCTTCCTGCGTTCATCATGATGCTGACTTCGGCCACGATCTCGCCCCATTCGAGGTTATTCGGATTACCGCCCTTATCTTCCATCAAGGCTTGGAAGAAATCATCTAGCTTCTCACCCCGCCGATACCGTTCTAATCGTCGGTGTGCTAGTTCTAGCGGAATGCCCTCCCAATCTCGCGCAAAGCTCCCCATGCGTCCGTAGAAAGGAATTACGTTCGAAATCTTGTTGATGAATGGGTACCACTGGTATGGCCAGACCAGTAGCGACTGCTTCCTCGCATTTTGGTATAGACAATCTCGAAAATTGCACTGGTAGGTTGTGCCGTCAATCCTTCGTCCTGTCACGCGATCGTTGCCTTGGTCTAAGAAGCCCAGTTTTTCGGAGAGTCCAATGTCGGCAATGGCATCCAAGGTAAAGAAGTTCGTCCACGCTCGATAGTCGACGTTCACGTCCCCCGGATTTGGGATAGTGCCCAGAGGAAAAGGAGATGTGCAGCATTTGTCCAGATGAACGATGAGTCGAGCCGTCTTATCCGCAACTTTGTGCTCCCAGTGTTCAAGGTTCTTGATCGCGTACGCTGAGCTTAACAATTTTCTTTTCCGCGCATGGTCATGTTTGTCGACTACATCTGCGAGATGATAATGAGACCCAGCTGTCAGTACGTAGGATGTGTCTTTCGTGCAAGCTGTATTATGACCGTAAATATCCTTTATCGCCCGAAGGTCTCCATATGAGAGAGTGTTAGGACTAGTTCGAATGACCGCATGCTTTTGGTGGAGTTTCGAGAGGTATGTGGAGCGCGCACCTCCGTGGGCGACGATCATGAATGGAATAGATGATATGCTGGAGAGAGGATGCATATTTGGGTAACGACGAAGACCTAGAGCTGTTAGAAGGCCATAAAGTGTGGCCGCAGTTCACCTACCTTTAGCATCGCGAAAGTAAACAACAATTGGGTATATGATGAAGTAGAAGAAGACTGAAAGGCACAGTGCTGTAGCGTACGGTGCCGAGACTATTGCACTCATCTTGAACGAGAGATGAGAAATAAAATCAGAATATAACCATCTCTTTGCGAATTCTCGTTGCTTTTAAACCCTCAAGTGCGTTACAGTTGTCGCTTCAGCCCATTAAGCATCTTCAAATCGACAAAAAATCAATGCCTTACTCTCAGGATGTTCTGTCGTGGGTGGTTAGGCTCGACGGGGAAGAGATACCCGATGAATCGATGGATGAAATGTGGGGAACCTGATGTAGCAAGTTTCTCCGAGTATGTGGAATCTTGCGGGGAGAAGCTGTGGGAGGTTCGCTTCGAGACTCACATAGCCGTCCTACGTGCTCTTCGAAAACTCAACATTACCAATTAGGGGTCTAGTGCTTGGCTTTCTAATTCGGGAGATGCGATGCAAAAAAATGTGTCTGTAGGAGTGGTTCTCTTTGCTGACCTGTCTAATGGTAGTAAAGGGCTCCGGATGGCCGGGTAGGGCAGGTTCTCTAAGAAACATATATAGGCCAGACAGAAAAGTGTGTGTGGGAATAAGCTCTGACGGCTAGCTTTATTCGTTTATCAGCCATGGAGACCTTGTACTCCCAAACCCTCTTTGCGTCTCGATATTTCCACCCCTACATTGAAAGATTCCGCCCAGCATCTACGGTAGATGGTGTGGCCCTAATTTTCTTCATCCTCGTTACCTTCGGATATCTCACTCGAGGCCAGCTCTGGGAAAAGCCTGACCCACACTATGCTCTCTATTTCGAAAGGCCTCAGCAACTAGATGGTGGCTTCAGCACTACCCAGCCTTCCCGAAACATTGCCCAGCGTCTTGAAGAGGGCAATTACCAAGCCGTCATTTTCTGGGGATCCCAATCGGGCACCTCGGAACGATTCGCTGAAGCTATCGCGCGCGAATGCCTGGCGCACTTCGGTCTCCTTGCACTCGTTGCCGATGCCTCCGATTACGATGCGGAAACCATTTCTCTCATACCGAAGGCTAAGTTCGCGATATTTATCCTCAGCACATATGGTGAGGGTGACCCGAGCGATAACACCGCCGGGCTATGGGAATGGATTAAAACTGTCAAGGAGAAGAATTTGAGACTTGACAGCCTGCGCTACATTGCACTTGGACTTGGTAACAGCAACTATAAGCACTACAACCGAGTTGTTGATGTCGTGGCCGACGCGTTTGATGTGGCAGGCGCAACGCCATTAATTCCAAGAAGAAAAGCAGACGATGCGCAAGGTGGAACGGAAGAGGACTTTCTGGCCTGGAAAGATGGCATGTTTGATCTCTTCAAGATGATGGGTTATGAGGAACAGAGCGCTGACTACCGAGCGACAATGGACGTGACGTTCTCAGTCTCCGCAGCCATAAGTGAGGAGAACCAATTTGGCATTCTATCGCATTATCAACAATCCTCGACTTGCTCGGCCATCGTACCGTTGGTTGTGAAGAATTCTAGAGAATTATTCACGGCCGGAGAACGAAACTGCGTGCACATGGAGCTCGATCTAGCTAACCATCCCAGTATCCACTACAAGACGGGGGATCATGTGGGTGTCTGGCCAGTTAATCCGGAAGACGAAATCGATCGGTTATTGGATGCTCTCGGTCTTCAGGAGCGACGATGCGAAACGGTAATAATAACTCCATCCAAAGAGAATACAAGATTCAAAATCCCTTCTCCAACTACGCTGGAGACGGTTTTCCGGCATTATCTCGAGATTTGCGCTCCCGTACCTCGGAAGGTTCTAGTGGATCTTGCCCAATTTGCTCCGGACGCGGCGTCCAAGGCAATGGTCATGGAGATAGGACGAGATCGTCAGCGATATGCGCAGTTGATATCCAACACACATATCACGCTTGCACGTCTCTTGCAAATTGTTAGCCCACTAGAATCTTGGATCTCGCTTCCCCTGTCATTCGTGCTGGAGTGTCTGCGTCCTATGCAGCCGAGATATTACTCCATCTCTTCGAGCTCAGTCATATCACCTCGCAAAGTTGCTGTCACGGCGTTAGTCGTGAATAAAACGGCCGCAGGACCGCCAGAGTCCATAATCTATGGCTTAACATCAAACTACATCCTCTCGGCCGGAAGGATTCCTTCGAACTCTGCCCATCGTATTCCGCGATACCAACACATCAACATCGCAGAGAGTGCCGGAAGCAATAAAGTGCTTGCACACATTCGAAAATCAAAATTCAAGCTGCCAATCACTTGCTCGACGCCACTCATCCTCGTCAGCGCGGGGACTGGGCTTGCTCCGTTCCGTGCCTTCATCGCGGAAAGGGCAAAGCTCCACGTTGTTGGAAAGCCAACTGGAAGGATACTTCTGTTCTTCGGGTGTCGTGATGCGGAGTCCGATTTTATATACAAAGGTGAGATAGAGAAGGCAAAGGAAGGGTTAGGAGACATGCTAGAGATTTTCACTGCGTTTTCTAGAGCGGGCAAACAAAAGGTGTATGTGCAGGATCGAGTCGCAGAGCACAGTGGGAGGGTACTAGAAGTGCTAGAAGCGGGCGCAAATTTTTACGTATGCGGCAAAGCTAGTATGGCGCGCGAAGTCGATATGCGGATCGAGGAAGCCGCGAAACTATCGAAAGGGCTGAGCGATCAGGAAGTGAAAGCTTGGATAGATGGATTGAAGAAACGTGGCAAATGGAAGGTAGAAGTTTGGGGTTGAGCCATGAATAGACCCATGGAGATATGCATCTTGCGTTGAGCATGGAAGGACAGATTTTTTTCATCCTGTTGTTGATGTTCCCGCTAGATGGGGCGCAGGTTCAGTTGATAGACTCTACCCTACTTCTTGCCTGTTTTCCGTGATAATATGCTGAGGCATCTGGTCGCTCTCTCAGATCGGATTTGAGATAGATGGGCCCAATTCAATTGGACCATTGTTCTCGTAAATCCTGGAGAACGTTCGTAGTCCTCCATCCAATCAGATCTTGCAATCCTCTAAGATATTCGACGCAGGCTTCTTGTTCCGCTTTCTCAATGATATAAGCGCCACACGCACTCAAGATATGGCTACCTTGAAACATAGCATTCCCACAATGTGAATTGCTGACTCCGTAACCGATGATGATGCGAATGTGCTGGCGAATCGCAGCATCTGTTGCCTTCCTTGCCCTGACACTCGCAAGTCCAACAAGTGATGCATGCGGAGAGTAGATTGATAGCAGTATCTTGCAGAGGTGGTAATACTGTAAACCGACGGCTACCACGCCTTGTGCAGTGGGGAGTTCCGGCCATGATCCATTAAACTCTTTTCCAGCCCGTTCCTCGGTAAATAAAGGGGTAAATGTCCAGGGCTTCGTACGCTCCCACTCATTGACTTCGGCGTCAAGTTCAGCCCACTTATCTCTAGAGAGTGGGCTGGATTCGCGTCCCTCAAAGACATGTTTGAGGACATTGGCGAAAAGGAAGATGGCACGGTTTGCCCAGGCCTCATCATCGTATTCACGGAAGACGGAGGAATGACGGTAGTTCTCGAGACTGAGATCGAGGGGTTGTTGCGTTGTGAGAGAAACATAGATGTGTTGTCGTAGTGATACCCAGCTGGCAGACTCGCGCAGACCTCCATCTGCTGCAAACGATGAAATAGAATTTAGAATGCGAGTAGTTCCAAAGTGGTGGCATTGTTCGTCAGAGTCACCCATCTCCTCGTGTAAGCGTAGTAAAATGACTGCTATTAGGAAGTTTTCATCCCAGTGGGCAAGTGGGTCTTCTAACGCGATGATGAGGGTTTGGAGGCACTGGTCTATATATGGAGCAGAATGATCCTCTTCAACTTTGGACAAAAGCCACAGATGTCGAGCCGCAAGGCCAAGCACACCATTCAATATGACCGGATATTGAGCTGCGCGTTTGGGGATTTCCTTTCCAAAGTGACAGCGGGGATCGCACACATCTATCCAGGGAGTGCAATGAACAATGAAGTGATGGAGAAGGCGTGCTTCGTAGGCGTTGCTCACTGGCCATCTCGGTGAAAGAGAAGTGCTGGCTGAGAATGCCGAACTGGAACCGAAGGGGGAGATGTTGAAGTCCTGAGGTGGTGAAACTTTGTTATTAGGCACTTCATGGGGGGATATAGTGTTGTTAAGAGTATCATAGATCGGGGGCTGAAGGGGCGCAACACCAGCAGAGGGAGAGATGGCAGGGAGTCCTTTTAGCGGGTTGGTCTCTATGTCAATTGACGGCCTAAACGCAATTCCAGAGTCTTCCAAAGTGGAATCGGGTTCCGCATCAAGGACTCCCTCACCAGGTTCATCAGGTTCGCCAAGGTCATCAGGATCGGTGTTTGGGGGGACAAAGCGTACTATTCCATGCGATGAGTTAGCACAAACTCACTATTACCGCGCCGTATTAGAATTTGACAGGGTATTCAGAACATAAACGTGGTGCCCGATGATGCTCTCATAGTTCCTACAATAGTCTGAGCTGATGGAATCCACCCTGTTAATGGACTAAGATAGGCGCAAATACGTAGTGGGAGGGCGAATGAGGGCCATACAAGATTCCGGAATATCAACCCAAGTCTGACTGGTCTGGAAGTTGAGGCTCTGCTCAGCGGATCCAATGTCTTCCCCTGCGTTAAATTTGACAGAAGTAACAGGTCGGAATCGAAACGCATTGCCCTTGACGCAGGGGCGGTCCCTCTCCGTGCAGTGCTTGCATTTGCTCGAATCTCGCAGCTTCACGCCTGCTCATTTCGTCAGCTTTCCATCGTTAAACCACGAGACGCGCTCTAATCCGTCCCAATATGTAGCGTGGAGCACTACAGGGACGATTCTAGAGAAGAGGGTTGCATCCGATCGATGGTCTCCATGTTTACAGCCGGAGATTTAGGCAATAAAATCCTTCCTCATTATGTTCCGCAGTGGGTACGAATGTGTTGTAGGGGATGCTTACATTTAATATGCCGCTCGCGACATGTCTTGCTGTCAAGGCAATTTAGCCCTGGGCCTGTTGCAATTCAAGGGACAACTGACCATCCACTCCGTTGCCGCATTGAGAATCGAGAAAGAAAGCGCGAAAGGTAGGGGCAGGGGAGAGGATAGATGGGAGATGTGGAGCGCGGGAAATTGAACTCTTTTTGATGATGACGAATGCGAGAGACACAAGAAATAGTATGACGGATGCGACGGGGTTACCACAATTCCCCGCACTTATGCCAAGCTTCTAAATAGGACCGTTCCGATGCATCCTCGGAAGAAAGTCAAAGAATCCCAGGGTAAGTTTCTCCGTTAATGAGTTGCTTCCAGAAATAACCTCCGCACACCTTTTCACTTGTTGGCTATTTCATTAACAGACTCAGAATAACGTGTCGCTCACGCCCTTCTCCTCGTTTCATACTATCCCCATCCAGCAACTAACCCGGCAAACTTTCCACTTCCCATCTTTCGACCAACAGGTGGCATCAAAGGCTACAGTTACTGCAATAGGCAATGTCTTCTTCTTTCTACGTTTGTACCGCAGAGGGATTGTTGAATATTTTCTCTTCCAAGAAGTGATTCAAATGAACCCCAACTCCCATGTCACTTCTCTGTCCTTTCATTTCCCTCTCGTAGTTTCACCTCACCAAAGCCATGTCCACCAAAAGGCTCCAGATAGCCGCAGCAGGCCTCGGCCGCATGGGCAAACGCCATGCTCTCAACTTCCTCAGTCGCACACCTCGTGCTGAGCTCGTCGCCGCTTTCTCCCCGGACCCTGTTGAACTGCAGTGGGGAAAACAACATCTTGAACCCTACGGGGTCACGTTATATGACGACTACGACAAGATGATCTCGCAAGATGGCCTCGAAGCCGTAGTCATTGGCACCGCAACATCCGTCCATGCTGATGAAGCGATCAAGGCCATGGGGAAGAACCTGCACGTTCTATGCGAGAAGCCGTTGTCCACGGATATTGAAGTTGTACGTAAATGCGAATCGAACTGGGCTGGGGAACTGACATCAACCTCGAGGTTGTAGTGTAAGCAAGTCGTTGAGGCCGCAAGGAAACGCCCACATCTGAAAGTCATGTGCGGTTTCTCGCGCCGATTCGATGAAAGCTACCGCGACGCTCACCAGAAGTATGAGCAAGGGTTGATCGGGAGGCCTTCTATTTTTCGGTCGCAGACTTGTGACAAACACGATCCTTCTGGTGAGCATGCTCGTATTTTACTGGCGCGGTTTTATTGACCTGGAGAAGGGTTCTTCGTCGAATACGCAGCTTGGTCCGGGGGTGTCTTTGTTGACATGTCCGTTCATGATATCGATCTTACGCTCTGGTTCTTCGGAGACGAAATTATCCCTAAATCAATCTCTGCCCACGGCATCACTGCTGTCCAACCTGACCTCAAGAGGTACAACGACTATGATAACGCAGTTGGCATCGTGGAGTTCCACAACGGGAAGATTGCTTACTACTACTGCTCCCGCATGATGGCGCATGGCCAGGAGGATGTCACGGAGATCATTGGCACGGAGGGAAAGCTAAGCGTGAATTCCAATCCGCAAACAAATTTAGTGAATCTGTATCACTCCGGCGGTATCACACGAGAGGTACCAAAGGACTACTATGGTAGGTTTGAAATGGCATTTGTAAGGGAGAGCAACGAGTTCACGGCTGCTTGTCTGGATGACACGCCGTTGCCATTGAAGCTGAGCAACGCGGTCAAGGCCGTTCAGCTTGGGGCATGGCTGCAAGAGGCTCTTGTTACTGGAAGGCAAATTCACTTCGATGAGATTGGGAGGAGAGTTGAGAGATCACACCTATGATTCGAAGAATAGATGATAGATGCTTGAAGAGCCAAATTTTAATACTCAGGCAAAGACTCAGTCACTAAAACCACTCCCCTCACGAATTAGGGTCTGTATGAAGGAGAGGGTCATGTGCAGAGAAATTAGTATCGCGGGGAACCTAGATTGAGCTGATGGAGGGCATATAGGGTGGTGCAAGTAGTCAATTAGGTGCTGAGGGCCAAGCTAGGTAGATTGACGTGTAGTAGAAGGTCTCTGGAGCGAGAGAGCTTAGAGGTAAATATATAGTAGATAAAAGAGCGCTAGTTCTAATCTGGTATGCACTAGTCTTAGATGGGAAACGGGTGGATGTGAGTCAAAGACGCACTGAGACTAGGCCAAGATCACGTGAAACCACTCGCGCCATGGCCCAACTTGTTTGGCACTGTCTGATCCACCAAGACGAGGCCTAGTTGCCATTGGAACTATTCATCCGCACCGGTACCATCCTCTGTTGCTTACGGAACATTTATAACTTCCGCACCTCTACCTCCACAATTGACCCGTGTAGGTTTCCATCGCCTGTACCGCGGAATACCGCATGCTAAAGAGTGGCGCCACCCCAGTAACTAAGATATCCCAATTCCTAACCTGAGGCGTACCCCCAGCATGTGCGGGCCAAATCTGAAGAAGAGAATGAATGTAAGAAACAGGCAGGAAAGGACGTTATCTACGACACCAAGAGCTCCTAGCAGCCTCCATGGACCCCATGTCAAATCAGCTCCCGAAGTATTCGTCAAGTGTTCTCATTATTCGGCAGTTGTATAACCATTTAATTGACAGTACCGCAGGAGTACCGAGGTGATCAGATAAGCGATAAAGAGTCCAGTGATTGAGATTTGAAGGACGCTGTTGAAAGCGGTTGCGCTTTAATAGGAACACTCGCAGCTCTTAAACGAGTGATTACATTTGTTCTAGGGCTTCTCCCCATTCGTGATGAAGGGGTTTGAGCTTGCGGCTTAAGCAGGAAAAACGAATCCGATTCACAGTCATGGCGCCTACCTCCTCTTGTCAATCCAACCTCAAATAGGGAAACTGTTGCTCATGGCGTTGAGATCTCCCATCAGCGTTAGTTCAAACATCAACTTCGCCAAAGGGGAAAGCATTAATTCGAACATCAATCTCAGCCATAGGGAATGCATTTGTTCGAACATCGATATCGCTGATGAGAAAGGCGATCGTTCGGACATCGACCTCACCAGATGGGAAAACGTTGGTATGAACACCACTACCACCCATCGAGAATGCGTTAGCTCGAGCGTCAACATTGGCGATTGGGTATGCATTGGTACGTGCATCGATGGTAAATGCATCGGTTCGAGCGTCCGTTGGGAACACATCCTCCAAGGAGTTGCTCCAACGTTCAACTTTAGTCCATTCCTCCGTCGTAGGAGTAGATTAGCGCTGGGCTTGGTTTTCCTGCCGGTGAGATTCGATAATGCTTGTAGCTAAGGCTTTATATTAATTCGTCATGGTGAGTGATAGGAACGTGAATCTGGCGTAGAGATGCAGGGGCCAGGGCTTCCAACGGGCCGTACTACGGTCCGTACAAAGTGAACCGTAACGGTCACGTGAGCAGTACGAACGTACCGAGTTTGTAAGCCGTACCGTACGGTTAATGATGCCCTAGGTACAGTACGTAGTACAGACTGTATTACCCTTTTAGGAAGTTTGTATAGCAATTTTAGAGGAGTAGGAGGGCTCTAGCAAACAGTAGGCTTGCAGGAGCGTTTAGAAGGGTTTTTAGAGCTTTAATTAGCTAAAAGTTTTATAAAAACGCGTAAATTTTTTTTTAAGTCTTTTAATTTATCTATCTGCAGTTTATTATCTTAAAAATGCCTATTACTAACTATTTTCTATTACAGAGTTATCTATCCACGCGCTTTGCTGCCTTACAGGCCTTATTTAGTTAATTAGATACCTCTATTGCCTATTTTACATAGTCTTGTAGGCTTTAGAAGTTAAAAGCCCTCTACACTACATCTTCTGCCTTATCCTGCAATAGTACACTGTCTGTAGCTAAAAATTAGTTACAGTAGTTTCTAAAGGACTGTAATTATAATACTAAAGTTAAGTTTATAATTAACTAGAATAATATATAGCTGTTAGACTTAAAATAAGTGTTGCCTTTAGCGCAGTTAAGTTACTGTGTAAAAAATAAAACTGTGTTATAAAGTAATTATACACTATTAAAAGTATAAGCTTATAGCACAGATTTAACGCTTTTAAAGAAGCAGAGTAAGGTAATCTGCCTCTAGCTCTGCTATTAATGCTATAAGTAAGGTTCTTAAAGCGCTGTAAAGGTAGTAGATAGCTATAACTATATTATTTAATACTTAATAAGAGAGCATAAGGTTAATGTTAATAGGGAGCTCTTCTCTAACAGTGTATAGCTACTGCAGCACCTATAGGAGGCAGCTAGAGGAGCAGCAGGCTTGTTACAGGGATTATCTTATACACTATAGTAGGAGAGTTCTCTGCGTAGTGCTCTAGTTAACTAGGCTATAGTGCAAAATTAGTTATTTAAAAAAGTAACATTATTAAAGACTTATAGTTTTATTAGCTAGAATTATATAGATCTTTTTACTACCCTTTTACATTCTACTGCTACGCTTTTTAAGGATATCTACGCTGCACTTTTACAGCAAAAGAAAAAGATTTAAATAATACTAGTAATAGTGCTATTAAAAATTACACTAAGCGTAAATGTATAGAGTTTTAGAAACTACCTCTTCTTCCTTGCAGTAGTAGCTGACTTTATTAGTAGGCGCGCACAGGCTACTATTATAAGAACTTTATAACTAATAATAGCTAAATGCTTTACACGCTTAGTAAGATTTTTTAATTAGCTTTAAAAACTTATACAGCAACTATACTAGCAGTGCTTATGTAACAGCGCAGGCAAGACAATGGGTCTAAATGCAGTATGGATCCACTTAGAGGCATATGGGAGTGCGTGGGGACTTAGAGACCTGGGAATACTAATGACACCTATAGGCCTTATACGTAGGATATCAGAAAACTACCAAGCTAGCTACGGGGGCGAGGTGCGACTAAATACATGAGGGAATAGGGGTAACTGCGGGAGACTAGGTCAAGTCATGGTCGGGGCCGATACAGGGACCCTTTAGATAGGATCCAAGCGACCTAAGATAGAACAATTCGTAGAATCATTACAGCTTAAGCCTTTAAGATAGCTGCTGTTATTAATAAGTATAGTATTATATTAAAATTTAGCTACTTTATTAGTAATAACATGTCTAACAATAATAACAAGCTTACTAAGAGCCTTAATAAAGAGCTTAATCTACTGTATAAGCTTAATAGACAGCACTAGATCTGCTGCGCTAGCTATATAATCTAGATAGTTATTAAAGCTATTATATATAGTAAAAGTGTTATAAAATTTAAGTAGAAGCTTACTAGAGCTGCTCTACGCAATTAATTTAAGCTATATAAAAAGTGTAGAGTTGTTAGACAACTTTATAACTTTATAAATAGTGTTCTTACATTACATAAGCGCATAAGGCTTTTTAAGACTCTTTAAATTAATATTATAAAAAAGGACTTAATTTAGTAGTTTAGTACACTTAATCTAGTGCGTAATAGCAGAGTGCACTAGCACTTAGTTTATCTTATGCTATTACACTGTTATAAGCTTAGAGAAGTAATTAGTTGCTTTTAATAGTAATAAAAAGGCTTTTTTAATGCTAATAAAAAAACTTAATGTGCTAGCTTTAATGCGCTAGCAGATCTTATTACTAAAGATAATTAAGATAAGATTAAGCGCTTTAAAGACTTTTTAGAGAAGTTTTATTAAATAATAAAGAGACTTAAAGGCTAAGGCTTATTTAGCTTACTATAGAGGACTATAACAGAGCTTTAGTGCCTCTAAATCTACTTTAATTAGATAAGAATAATTACTGCTAACAAGCTAAGCAACTTATACTTTAAAAATGCTATAAAGTTTAGCTATTAAAAGCTTACTACTTACTAGAGTAAACTAATCTTTAGTTTTTTAGTCTTATACTATGTAGTTGCTACTATCCTTAACTTTTAATTATATTTACTTTAGTTTTAAGATTACTAGCAGCATTATAAAAGCTAGGTAGATAAAGTAACTAGGTTAATAAAAATAATCTTTAACTAGTATTTAAATGCTAAAGAGAAGCCTAACTTTAAAAATAAGCTCTTATCTTTTAGGTGTTAAAAGCTGCTAGGTAGCAACTATTATAATAATAATTATAAGGCTTACTTTTTTATTAACCTCTTTTTTATAATAAATTAACACTTATATAAGTGTAAAAAAGCGTTAAATAAGCTGTAGCTTTACTATAACTTTATAAAAGCTAATTACTATAAAGATTACCCCTTACTCTGTAAAGAACTTTTATAATAGTAGTGTGATGACAAGCACTGTCTCTACTACCGTATAGAGCCGGGGAAGCATGGCAGAGTAGGTCGGCTCTATTTCAGCTAAACTAGGATGGGGAGTGAAGGAGGCGAAGGGTTTTCGCGAGAGAAAAGCTTGCGCAGCGCCAAGGCGCTAGCGCGCTCGCTTAACCCTTAGCGAGATCATGTGACTAGCAGTGGAGCTTAACAAGCAGCACCGTCACAAGTAGCTTACTAAAGGCAAAACAGCCTATTTTATTTTCTTTAAGATTACCTTTAACTTTCTTACTATCCTAGCTACTAGCTGCAAGTGTGAGAGGTGTTTTAGTGCAGCTAGTTATATAGTAACTAATAATTAAGGCTTACTTAAAAGTGTAATAATTAAGGCTATTTAACTCTAAAAGAATTAGTTACAGAATAAGGTAGTAAGCAGTAAGCTTTTAGACCTCTCTACTTATGTTACTAGGGAGAATTAGTTATCTAATAGCTATTTAGACCTTAATCCTGCGTCTCTAGAGACCTATAATATTAGTTGTTTTAACTAGAGTACAACGTACTTTAATTAAATTATACTACTTGTATAGATCACGTGAGCTGTACTAGTTACAATACGTACACCTCCCTCTCCTCCTCCCTGCCGTACGAACGTACTCAAAATCTCACCCGTACAGGCCTCAAAATCGCCCAATCGTACAGTACTACGCCTCGTTGGAAGCGCTGGCAGGGGCAGAAAATAGTGAAAGAGAAGGGGGACGTAATATAGACTTGGAAAACAAGGTGGATAGGGGCCTGAAGTGCAAGGATATATATACTTCATTGTTCTAAGACTTGGAGTCCACTGACCCACGGAGAACATACGTATTACGAGCATACGGCGGAGTCTATAATGCCATAAATACCAATGCGAACTGTGACGTACCGCACATTGGGTATTTTGTTACACTGACAGCGATTTGGACCGTGGGTCCCTATACGCAACTTAAGATCTTGAAAGTGTCCAGCCATACAGCCACGAATGGCAAGAAATGTGTTCCAAAGTCCCCCGGCGCAACTGTAACCTCAGCCTACAGCGTCCACACTTAGAAATACCGACCCATGCCTCATATGCGGGGTGTTGGTCCGGGGCCGATCAAGTCGTTTCGGTTGCGATTGGGGAACTTTGTATCGAGCGGATATTGGTTGTTACGACGTAAAATCCGAAAATGGAATAGCTGCATTCTCTGGAATCTATGGAACTTTTTTGGCTTACACCAAGCTGTAGATGCATATTTTCAAGTCATCCGTGAGATTCTTTGGTTGCGGGAAGACCATATCTTACAGGCAGAGTTCAGCGAGTTTACCTACACTTGAGTTCAATAGAGAGCCTACAGTGAGTCTTTGCATGGACTTTCCTTCCCTGCGAAAGATATGACACAAGCGAGTATCAAATTCCTTAAATGGAAAGCCCTGCAGGAGAAGGAGAAGCCTTCCAGCTCTTCAAGGAGCTTCCAGAAGATGCAAAGGATAGGAGGAAATCAAATCTCGTATGGGATGAGCTGGGCGTTGCCGTTACTGATTTTCGAGATACCTTCCAAAGCTGTCATCTGCATAGCCATGGCTTTATATCCCGTTACCTTCCAGGGTTTCCGGATCTGGGAGCAGAGAAAGAGATTCCAGAGAATTATCTACCGGTGGTGAAGAAACTGCTAGAGAACGAGCTAGAAGGTGTCGGAACGGTGTTTATCTTCGACGAGAGAGAGCTATATCCAGCCACATACTCAATCCAGCAGGCTCTGATCACTCTCGAAGCTCCGAGCCAGGGGCCACCACCTACATCAGAGAAAATAGGCTTCAGCGACAAAACTCATTTGTTCTTCCCAGTAACTATGCGCGCTCGGACACCGATCCCATTTCCGTTATCCGGAGGATCCTGAAGAGTTTCACACGGGGATGTGGAGAAATATTGCGCCAGAGGATTAGGGCGGTCAAGTGATGGCCCTTCGCGTATAGGGCTCTTGGCCCAACTGACGGTTTTTACCAGCTTTTGGAGGCCGCTGTTCTATCTCGTCGATGAGCTGCCCCTAGCGGCCCGCGACAGTATAACCTGTTAATACGGATGACATAGTTAAGAGAGATTCAGTTCGCCAAGGAATCATTAGCACCAACTACTATGTGAGGTACAATACAGGACAGAGCTGATACTTCTTGAAGAACCAGAAACCAGGTGAAGCGCTGATCTCTAAGCACTTCAATTCTGAGCCTGAGGCCAAAGCACCTTGTAAGGATGCACTCAAGTGAAAACCTAACGGAAATGCTGAATCCATGATCGCCGAGCGCTCCTTCCAAGTCTCAGCTTGCACAAAATTCTAGCCGACGCAAAGCTGCGAAAACGCATCGAGATTCGCACTTTGATTTTTCTCGTAGATTTTAGGTAGTGTTGATGGGACTGGAGAAGCATAATGTTTGCAGTAGTCACGCATGACTCTCACGCATGGCTCACACGATAGTCGTCTACTCACACGATGGTCTCATGTTGCCAAGACTTACCCCTTTTCTTGTATATATATAGACTCCTAGATAGGCCCTCTAGTAATTAATCTAGTTTAGTTCCTCTCATCTCTGTGCTTCCACATGCTTGACACATAATCAGTGTTTAGGGATAAATTTTCGGCTAGTATTCTTACACCCCTCTACGCAATGATAGTATATACGTTAGCAGTACCCTAGGAAACGGAAGAATAGAGAAAACATATCAAACCCTTACCGTGTGTTGAAAAAGAAACAATTCATGTACGGGCAAATGAAAGTCGTCAGAGACGTGATTCGCCGAGAGTTGCAAAGATCTAAGGCTCGTATGGAATTGCTGAATGACATGACAGGCTTACTTATTTATCTTTCAAATGATTGCCCATTACGTGAGGAAGGCCCCCTAAGCATGCAGGAAGCCCTTGAATGTTACGGGAGTTAGCTTTAGATTGAACAATAGTGTCCACTGTCTGCAATCAGAATCGAAACTTTCGTGCGAGAGAATGATAAAGAGTTAGTCTCTAGGGTATATTTAGTGTGATATTTCCTCCATGCGCCATGTCCTCCTAGCTAAGACGAGTGCGGGTGTACGAACAGGGGCTCATTTCCAGGTCTAATACGCCCCGCGCCACCTGATCGTCTTGACCGCCGTTTTGGGTGAGTCATCAGCACTCACATGTCCTCGGCTATGTGATCGACCTCGCCTGTAGTTTGGCTAAAAAAGAGAGTGAGATTACATCTCGTCGACCGACGCGGAACACGGCAGGGTAAATCCAGGGCAGAGATTTAGATTCTGTTAATGTAGCAAGAGGTTTAATAGAAAAACTCAGTTTCAATCGTACATGGGCAGAAAGAGCAAACAAATCTGACGTGTAATGTTCGCATCTTTGTTCGTTCCATGTATGGGAGCTGATTGCAAGAGGGGGCCTATGCCCGAAAGCGGGCTATTTACGATGGTATCTCCCACGTCGCTTACCTCGGGTAAGCTATTCTCTAGTGATTTCGTATGTTGGTATTGGCTAGGTTTCCAACGTTGATGATGGCCAGGGTTGTTGTTTCCAGATTTCATCTATGTGGCGCGGGTTTGTGCGGCACGCTTCGATTCCGCTGCCCGTACCGAAGGACCCAATTTTCCACCAGAAATAAAACTAACTTCAACAGAATTGGACTTCACCATCGATCCCCTCTCACAATCACTTTTCACCAACAAGATGGGGGAATCCGAAGTGAAAGTGGACTTGGTTGCCGGTTCAGCGAATGGCACAACACCTAGCAACCTTGAGTCTGGTGGGCAAGAGCAAGTATGGTCCGGGCCTCACGATCCGGAACGTCCAAAAAACTGGCCTCGCTCGAAGAAATGGACAGCGACCTTGATTCTTTCTGGGTTTGCATTCCTCCAGCCTCTCTCGGAAACCATGCTCTCGCCGGTTGAGAGGCAGATTTCACACAGCCTACATATCGAAGATGCCTACGATTGGCTGCTAATCAATTCGTTGATTCTCATTGGAGTTGGTTTGTCATCGCTCATCCTAGCACCTCTCTCTGAAGTGTACGGTCGCAAGCCCATCCTTCTCGCTGGTAGTACCATCTTTATCATCTGGAACACTGGGTGTGGAGCAGCCAGAACTCTAGATCAGATGTTGGCCTTCCGTCTTCTCTCGGGTTTCGGGGTGTGTGTTGGGGATGCCATTGCTGGCGGAGTCCTTGGCGACTTATGGAGAGCAGAAGAGCGAGGGAAAGCGTTTGCTCTCTTCATGGCAGCTCCACTACTTGGCCCGGCTCTAGGTCCCATATGCGGAGCTTTTATCTCAGAAGGGATGGACTGGCGGTGGGTATTCTGGATCACTTCAATCGCTTCTGGTGCGGTGATTCTGGTCGCCTTCTTCTTCTTGAAAGAGATGTACGAGCCTCGATTAGAATACACGCAGAGGAAAATATTGAGGGGTAAAGATTCAAGCAGCGGGAAGACGGGTGATGAGAACAAGCCCTTCCTGGGACTCATGCGGACGAATATCCAACGGCCACTTCGAATGCTAGGCACCCAACTCATTGTCCAGCTCCTCGCAGCCTACATGGCTCTGCTTTATGGCACAATGTTCTTATTTCTGTTTCTCTATCCCCGAATGTGGTCACAGCAATACGGGCAAGGCATACGGATTGGGAGCCTGAACTACCTCTCAGTCGCCATTGGGCTTATATGTGGCGTGATGGTCGCTGGTCACCTCAACGATTACATCTTCACGAGCCTGAAATCCCGGAATAACAACGTCGGCCGCCCTGAGTTCCGGGTCCCAGCCATGATTATCGGAACTTTTCTCGTTCCAGTTGGTCTTGTATGGTGGGGGTGGGCTGGACAGGCGAAGGTCCATTGGATCGTACCCAACATCGGAAGTCTCATATTCACCATGGGCGTTTACGTGTGCTCCGGGTCTGTGTCGGTCTACACTATTGATACATACACTCAGTATGCTGCGTCAGCTATCTCGACAAACCTAGTGCTACGAAGTTTGACGGCGGCATTCTTCCCTCTCTTTGCACCATACATGTTTAACAGCCTCGGGTTTGGATGGGGTGCTACTGTTCTAGCAGGAGCGTTTCTGGTATTCGGATCCACGGCAGTATTTATTCTCTGGTTCTACGGCGCGAGGATTCGGGCAAAGAGTCCTTATTGCGCTGCGGGAGACGAGAAGGGATAAGACGTTAACATGCGACAACGGAGATATTCAGCATGTAGCGGTAATGAATAGGTGACCTGGTTAGATAGATACTTAGGTACAGCTTCAATTGAAGCTTACATGAATGAGAACTCGCAATGTCCCAAGGTCAGGTTCCCAAGTTGGGGCGACCACAATGGGGCTAGATTAATCACGTGGGGGGAGGGAGGGGGATCAGCCCCGTAGTCATCTGCCTCGACTCCCTCGACACGTCCACCATGTTAGCACAAAAGAGAGCATAAACAAGATAGATTCTACCTATCACACTCCTTGATAGGGTTAAAAGAACAGCAAAAGACTGCGAAAACCTCTTATCAAACGCCTCTGCCGTGGTGGAACCACGAATGTGCCGCCAAGAGAGTGTTACATAAGCACGCTACCCGCTCTTTCTCTAATCTTGAAATGCCCATCACCACCACGCATCCTTCTATCTACCGTCGCTATTCATTATCCAACCAGTCCCGCGTCCATCAATAGGTGTCTTCCACCCCTCCAGATGTCTCAAATGTCGCCTCAGGAGCAGTCTTTCCCGGCAGCCAACGAATCTACTCCTCGTCCTGCCAGATCGAAGAACGGATGCAACGCTTGCCGGTAAGCTCTCCCAAATGCTAGATTTACTGGATGACAGCACGTAAAACGGAACATGACAGGATTTGGTATCTACTTCATAATATTCTTGAACCCAGCAGACAGCGAATACCTAAACTCATGAAGCTCTACGGTATGCGGTGGCTTGCTGTAACTTGCTGACGATGTTCTAGGCGGCGAAAAGTTCGTTGCAATGAGCGCCGTCCGCGGTGTGCACATTGTGAGAGACTTAACCTAGATTGCACGTGGAACCGGGCTCCTACGTCGCGAAATTCCCATGCAAGCCAGATAGGCCCACAAACTCTGCCGACTGCGCAAACCCCAAGTACTACCCATCCGAGTGCTACCGCATTTGATGGGTTTGGCTTGAATGGGAGTTCCTTCTTCGACCTCTCGGGCCCACTGGGAATTGGAACTTGGGATGAAGCCATGCTGCTGAGTCCTAGTTCGTGGCCTTCTGACCACTCAAACTCTAATCCGAGCACGAATTTCAACCTCGGACCCCAGCCTATTCAGCAGCAACCTCCACTACCACAATTTCCTGACCAACAGGATATGGCACAACAATCAGTGAGCACAATTCCTGATCGTGGTGCCTATCACCCTGATCCTGCTTCCACATCGCCTTTTGCATCGGAAGGGAGAGGAAATGTGACTTCCAATGATGAGGATCTGCTCATCACCGCATTTCTACAAATGCTAATGCCGCCTATCCTCACCCCCGTCGAAATTGGCCCAAAATGGGCGTCGACGCGAGCGTTCTTCGCTACTATGGCCTCTGAATCACCTGTAGTTCGGAGTGCTATTATGGCTTTTGCAGCAATGCAGATGCAGCGCAGTGGGTTGGGTTCAGATGGGGGTGCTAGAGTGACAGATTGGAGACCGTTGTATGACAACGCAGCAAGACAGTTGTCTAGTGCGTTAGGGAGGAGAAAGGATGGGGCGGAGAAAGGCAAGGATGAGCTAAAGTATGTGCTCGCTGCTTTGTTCCTTCTCACCTATACAGACGTAAGTGCCGCCACTCGATAAAATGTTGCCACAGGCGGGGAGTATGGCTAGAATATAGCCTGTTTGTCAGGCTGCTTGCCTGCATTGCCGTCAACATCGACAAGATTACAGTTTCTGTTCTAGGTGATGAAATTTATACATGGACCTGAGAGACTGACACTGTTCTCAGCTCCTTACCGAGACACTTCCAAGGGCACATGGGAATCTGAGAGAAGCATACAATCTAATCCAAAATTCCGAAAAGGGGTCTTTTACTGTCCCAGAGAAACGATTGATATCTTGGCTCCGTCTTCTCGACGCTCGTGCTGTCTCAACTGCAGGTGGAGAGGGTCTCTTCCTCTCCGATACAGACGATACAATTTTCGACGCCTCGCCTGCCGCCAACTCTGCCTCGGAGCCTGAAACCCTCGATAGTGAAATTGAGGAGATTCTATTCGATGTCCTATATCATCCAGGTATCGTTTTCTACCAGAAGGTGCAGTCATTTGTGGGCCGAATCACGAAGATCGATCCCTGGCACCGAAGTCGTGGTACAGTGCAAGATGAAACAGAAGTCATGGCCGTTGGCGCTGAGATAGCAAAGGATCTGCACGCTCTGTATGGACAAAGGCCTGCACTCATGGATCATGCGGTCGCGGGCAACCTCACGGAAAAGCATCTAGCCAGGAATCTGGCTACGGCTTTAACTAGAAGCTTCCGTACCTACTTAGCCAACTATTACGCGTCGTTTCTGCACCTCCATCGCGTGGCATATAAGCAGTTTCCAAAAACCAAAGACGTTAACTCCGCGATCACAAATATCAGGAAGCTATCTCACCTCATGGCCGAAACTGACGAGTCCCTACCAGTGAATCTCCTCTGGCCACTTTTGATGTGGGGGTGCGAAGAGGAAAATTCAGATGAGCGAAAATGGATTTTAGGAAGTATCCGTGGATTGGAGAGCATTGCAACCAACGCGAAGCCCACAGCTGATCTCCTTGAGGAAGTACAGCGTCGGCAAGATGAAGGCAGATGTAGGGTCGACGTTCGGACTGTGAGCCAGGAGTACTTTGCAAGCCATCATTTTGCCATAGTATAATCTAATAATGCTGCATTTTTGGACAGTCTAGGTAAACAGAATACGAAGACTCTTCCAAAACGCTTGCTAGGGGGTGATTAAGGAGAATGAGCAGCTCGAAGATGTGAAGATAGGAGGAGTGGTCTGAGCATCTGCGGATGGTAGAGTATGTACCCCTGTGGTTATTGGAATGCTACAAAGGCTAATTGGCGAGATAAGATAGCAGTTTCCTAGAAGGGGATGGACCTACTGCAAACGTTAGTCCTTAGATGGGATGTATGCACCCCTATGTCGACTCGTATTATGTGCCTTTCAGTCTTTCTAAAGATAGCCCAGCGCCATGAACGCAACAAATATGGCAGACCTAGACTAGACCAAGGATGCCTCGACAAAATCCAACCCAGACACCTGGTTGACAACCCACTTCCTCCTCTCCTCGCTAGAGTATCTCGGGTACGGTCTCCGGCAATGAGCGCTGGTCTCCGGATATCCTCTCTTCTTTGCAACCACCCACTTTGTGCCGTTAATACCACCTTTACCGAATCCCCATTCGGCAACGGAGAGTTTGATCTGCAACGCCTGAGCTTCGGCAATTTTTCCAGACTGATAGAGGCTGAATAACTCGACACAAGTCTATTCATTCAATTAGCTAGCGGCGTGAGACCTGATGGAAGCGTGCTTGCCCTTGGGAAGAGATTTGCAACTCCCGTAATACATCCAGTGCCGCCCACGCTCAACGCTGGAATCAGCCAATCGCTCTGTCCCGCCAGCGCGCAAAATTGCGACGTTTTAAACGACGCAGATATCCTAGAGACTTTCGCAATCCCTCCACAAGTAAGCTTGACGGCGGCAATATTTGGGTGCTTTCCTAGAATGTCCAGCATCTCCGAGTTCACATCCAAGCCTGCTACTACTCCTGGGAAGTTGTAGATGACAATGGGAATGGGGCTTGCATCTGCGAGTTCCTGGAAGTACGCAATTATTGCCGCCTGGTCCATTGCGAAATGGAAGTACGAAGGTATCAGTGCTAGATATGCGGTTGCGCCCGCCTCTTTTGCTTCGATGGTCTGCTGGATCGTATCGCGTGTGCAGCCTGCCACCCCTCCAATCGTAATGGGAAGTTCTCCTCGGTCTAGTGTTTCTGCCGCTTTTCGACACTTCTGTACTAGCTGGGTCTTCTCGGTGGATGTGAGGGTCGCAGCTTCGCCATTCGTTCCCGCGATTACTATGCCATGGAGCCCAGACGAGATGAGAAAATCAAAGTGGGTTTCCTGAACATCCCAGTCGATCTCCTGTTGGGTGTTATTCTTGAAGAATGTTAGGGAAGGGACGTGAATGCCAGGTGGAAAGGAGTATCGTGTAGAATCGCAGCCATTGGAGAGTGTCTCGTTGGAAGGCATTTTGAGAAAGTTGTGATACAGAAACAGACCAATGTTTAAGGTAATAATTTCGCACCCATTTGCGAATGAGGTTTTTTTTTGACGAGTTATTCTTCCGCTTCGCATTCCGGTACCGTTCCGATTAACCCGAGCTCGACAAAGAGATCATCCGACTTCTTGCTCAGTTGAAGGGGACAATTCCACCAAGTCGATGAATTCGGCGGAATTCAATTAGTGCAACCGACTTCCGATGGTTTCTTGTTCATGATCAATTCACTAGTCTATCAACTGGGGCGTCTATTGGTTCTCTGTAACAAGTCCGATATTCACCCAGTAGCGTTGGCGAAGACATCCATGTCAGCCGACGTGCATTAAAGCCTCCACTCGTTTCGAGCCCCGCCTCTCTCCATGCAAACGCCATCTTGCACATGGCGGGGCGGCCGCAGGAATTCGTGGGTCATATGCGCCACATGAAGTTCCCCAGTCCAGTACTCCGCAACATATCGGGCACCTGACGAACTGCTGGATTCCACCCGAACCGCACCCCGTGGAAGCGCCCTGACTCGAAGCCCCAGTCCCGACAGACAGACGGTCGGAAGCGACGAGTCACGTTTAGTCCCAGTCTCAGGGTTCGTGTGGAGTCGTCGCATGGCCAGAAACAACTTTTATAAAGACTTCAACCCCGGGGTACAAGATCATCATTGTGCAGTCTACGGGACTAGGCATACCTAGACATTACTTCAGCCTTTTTGAAAAACTTATTCGGCTACGATGACGGGTTTTTCTCGCGCCAAGGAGGATCGACCGACCCCTCCTGAGGTGGTATGTATTATATCCTATTCTAAGATTAGAGTCGAGGTCCTGCTCTGATACTAATGTCTTTCAGTATAATTGGAGGGTGTATGCTGCCTCACTCGTTATATCAATGGGCGTACTCGCCTACGGATATGATTCAGCTTTCATTGGCACAACGATCACGCAGAAGAGCTTCAAGCGTGACTTTGGACTTGCGAAGATGAGCAAAAAGGAGCAAAATGACGTGTCAAGTAATTTGACTTCAATTTGTATGGTGTCTTCTCCCTATGGCCCTGATTTCCTCAAATTAATAACCATGATTCCAGATTCCGCTGGTGGATTCTTCGGCGCACTCTTCATGTTCTTCTCGCTCGAGCTCCTAGGTCGTCGCATGACTGTCATTATCTCGGATGCTATCTTCATCTTCGGTGCAATTCTATGCACCGTTCCGACTCATCAGCTTGGCCTCATCTATGCCGGACGTCTCCTCACGGGACTAGGAGTCGGTGGCATCGCAGCCGTCTCTCCAATTTACATCGCCGAAATCGCGCCACCTGCAATTCGTGGACGTCTCACCGGATTTTTCGAATCCTTTTACCAGACTGGTGCCGTGATTGGTTTTTGGATCAACTATGGCATTGTCCACAACATCGATACCAACAAAACGATCGCATGGCGGATTCCCATGGCTGTACAGCTCATTCCTGCTGCCTTATTGGCTCTTATGATTCCCATTCTGAAGGAATCTCCAGTTTGGTTGCTTAAGCAGGGTCGCGACGACGACGCCTATGCTGTTTACAGTTATATTCGCAACCTCCCGGCCGGGCATCCCTATATCATGGAAGACGTCGCCTTCGTAAAAACCCAAATTGCCAAAGAGCGTGCCATGGTCACCGGAACCCAAACTCCGTCTTTCACCGAGTTCATCAAAGGTGCAGCGAAAGAAAGCATGATGAAAGGAATGCGGAACCGGTTCCTCCTCGTCTTCATCATGTTCATGTGGCAAGGCTGGTCGGGAGCCGCTGCCATAAACTACTATTCCCCAACCATCTTCACCTCAATCGGACTCACCGACGTCACCCTCTGGACCGGCATCTACGGCGTCATTAAAGCCGTCGGGTCCATTATATTCTTCACCTGGTTCATCGACGCCTTCGGCCGCAAATGGCCATGGATAATCTCATCATTGTGCTGCGCCTTCTGCCAATATTATCTCGCTGCGTACATTGCGATCGGCAACCCGAAGCCCGGAGTCCCGCAATCGTCCTCCACAATTGCTGGCGGGAAAGCCGCAACCGCATTCATCATGATCTTCGGAGCAACGTGGTCCTTTGGCGCAAACGGGCTCCCCTGGATCATCTCCGCGGAAATCTTTCCCTCATCGCTGCGCTCGATTTCGGGGCCGTGGGCCGGTATGAGCGTCTGGCTTTGGACGTTTGTGGTAACGAAGGCGCTGCCGAGTATGTACACGAGTATGGGGTATGGGGTTTATGTGTTCTTCGCAACGTGTCTTGTAGGCGCGAGTATTTATGCGTACTTCTTTATCCATGAGACGAAAGGATTGAGGATGGATCAGATGGACCATTTATTTGGGTTTGAGAGGGAAGAAGTAGCATTGGCGGGAGATGTGAAGATGGGAGATGGGGAGAGTGAGCATGAGAAGGAGGTCAAGGTGGATGTTAGGAAGGAAGTTGCGTGATTACAGAAGAGGAGGTCTTCATCTGCGCGGATGGGTTTAATATCTGAATGGGTCTCGGTAGTAGATATACAAGTATATTCTGTGAAGGATTTATTCAGGATCTGGGTGTGTGCTACCTTTCTCAATCAAATAGTCGAGACCTAGAACTCTAATTTCAATTGCTGGTCCAAGCCTATGTCAAGGGCGAACGAAGATCCACAAAATGACGATCACGCACGTCAAAGGAGACAGAAGGTCGCAGAGTTGGGGCTGAGAATGACTGTAGACGTTAAGCCTTCACACCAAGTGCTAATCATTTGTTTCCGGCCTACAAAACAAGAGGGACCAGAATGCAAAGGAAAAGCTATGGTTTAGAGAATGGAGAGTGTGGTATCATTGAGTAGTCTAGTAGTACAATCATTACACGTGAGTTTACCCAGTACCCATGACCAATAGGCCATCATTACCGTATATCCAAACCCACCCACATTGTCATAACGTCGTAAACTAAAACGCCCCCACAAATACAAATACATCCGTTCGTAATCCCCTCCTCGCCGGAACATCACTTCCCAACCTTCTCCTTCATCCCGGCAAGCCACTCCCTACAGCTCGAACAATTATACCGTCGCATGATCCCACTCCGCAGGACCGTCTGCAAACATCTTTCGCTATACTGATGTCCGCAGGTATCAACTTTTCGCATGAACACCGCGTTGTGTTTGCCGAGGCAGATGTTGCAAGCGAAGTACATGGCAGCGATGCGATCCTTTTCTTCGGCGTCGATAGGACTGTCAAGTGTGCTGCTGATCGAGGTTCTGGAACGATGGAGACGCCATTCTGGGCTACGGGGAGATGGAGAGGAGGTTTCGGGTGTGTTTTCGGCGAAGTTAAGATCAATGAGCTGGGTTTGTGCGCGTCTGAGGAGAAGGTTGGGAGTGTGCGGGGTTGGTGGAGGGGATAACGGGGCCGCTGGTCCTGGAGGCAGGTCGAGTATTGAAGGTGATTTTGAGGGGAATATTTGAGGCTCGGCAGGTAATGGCTCTGGAAGTTTCTCGGGTGCTGGAGTAGGGGGCAGAACGAGGTGCGGCTCGGTCAAAGCTTTACTCGATATAGCTGCTGTAATAGAAGGACTCTCGGGGAGCGGAACGAGTTCAGGGTTCACAGAGTTTTCAGGAATCAAAGATGTCTCTACAGGCGAGGAGCTTAAAGAAGGCTGCGCCTCGACGTGTGGCGTAACATCGATAGGCTCTAATGGCTCTGGTGTAGCGGGAGTATCTCGTATTTCGGATTCGTGCGAATTATAGCTTGTGGTTGGAGGTTCCAAGTCCGTAAAATCGTTATCAAACTCAGGCTCACAATCTGCAGATGGGAATTCCGAGATCGATTGGGATGGTAGCTCCAAAGTCGAAGATTGAACGGAAGATGCATCTATTAGGTCTTGGATGGGTTCCTGGTATTGGATGTCATCAATGGTATTGGAATGAGGTGTATCCAGTTCCGACGGGATTGAGGAAAGAGAAGGAGATGTCGCATCCAGCATCTCCAAACTTGCGCCTGTGTCTTCTTGGCGGATATCCGTGGGCATCTCAGGAGCCACGACGGGCAGCATCTCGTCGACGATGGGAAGGTCCGGCTCCACCTGGGCGATATCTCTTGACTCTGAAAGTTTTTCTTGGGGGAATACTTGTTCTTTTCTCTTCTCTTCTGGGATTGCATTCGCTTCTAGGCTGACAGCTGCCTCCACGACTACGTTTTCCTGCCCGGCACCGGTTAAAAGCGATTCCGGCTGGGTTTCTTCCTCATAAACCACCTCCTGGGCTTCCGGCACAACTTCTTTCACTGGCTCGAGCGAGATATCAGTATCCGCACGTTCTCGTGGTTTATTCTCTGGCATCTCATTGGCATCCTCTTTCTCTGGCGCGGCTAACTGCTGGAAGTCTATGAACGAAGTCGGATTATGTCTACCACAATAACTCCTTCCGTTACCGGCATCAACAATGATAGCCAGCTCCGTGCATTGCGGGCCTTGGTAATCGCGGAAAACCTGACATCGCTTGGTGGAATAGGGATCGTGTACCTTACAATACCAGTGGTGATGCGGCCGATGAAATCTCATCTCAACATGACGTGGACACCTATACTGCGTATTTTTGGGCATCCGGAAGCGGCATAGGATGATGGTTGATGCCGGCATGATGGGTGATATGCAGGTGCAGGTGTGCTGATTCGACACGTTGCTCACCACATGTTCTTAAGAAAGCCGGGAGAGGCTGAATGAAGAGTACGCGGTTGCGCGCACGGTGAAGAGCATTTACAAACTACTTCAAGCGGGATGAGACTGTCTGATGTTAGAGAGTGATAGAACGAAGAATTAATGTTTGCTGCGATGAGGCTGGGGAGACGCGACGCGTTGGCGCAGAAATTTGCTCGCTTGGCGGAATCATTGAGGCGTTTCAGCCAAGCCTCGGAAATTTCGGTGGCTGGGGGGCCCTTATCGATAAGGAACCTCTCAACTCGAATATCTAACCGTTATTTTTGAAATAGTTAACTATCTAGAAGACGAAGGTCTTTCCAATCGGTTGCCAATCAATCTTGAGCTTAGCATCTCACTATACTATATATAAATCACATTGCTCTTTGGACTCACGGTCCACAATACATGACTCTGTTCATAACTCGTGCCCCTGCAAAAGTTACGATATCTCTATAAGATATATGATTATTTCTGTACCTACTTTGAGGCTATATGCCCTTTGTTTCTCTGGAATATCTTGATTCATCCACATCAGTTTAGTTAAGCCTGATCCTCCGAAACAGAATCGCTCTCGTACACGAATTCGGAACCAGAATCACCTCCCAGTTCGGCAACCTCTTCGTCCTCTCCGGAACAGTCAGCAGGATAGAAATCCCCACCAACGCTATCGCCGTCGACTCTGTCGTTGGTACTGCTAGTAACTTCCGGTTCCTGGCCCTCAAATCCGTCATCGGAATGGCTACAAGGATACCTCCCCTCAGTTCTGCTGTGAAGATCCCTTCCTTCACTATGGTCTTCAGCTAGATCGACGTCGCCAATGGCATCATCCCCAATTTCGGGCTCTTTAATGCTGCCAACATCGGTAGCTTCTGCATCGTCTTCCTCAATGTTCTCCTGAGAGCAATTCTCCATTTCCTCATCTGACCCTTCTTCCATCTCTCCGTCGACCTCTGGCGACTCTCCTTCTATCTCTTCATGGGCCTCTCCCTCGTCTTCGGCCTCTTCGGCCTCGAAGTCTTCAACCTCGCTATCGACCATAATCTTATCCCGAGAAACATTCAGCATCCACTCGCGACAACTCGGACAATTGAACCGCATTGCATGGTCACTGGATAGCAGTTGATGCAAGCCCTCCTCACAGAACTCATGTCCGCAATTATCCAGCTTGCGCGTTCTACCCTGGATCTCCATGCAGATACTGCAGGTATGCTCGACGACCGTGGTGAAGCCGTCCAGGTTTCCCAGGAACAAGCCATCCCCTTCGCCATCGGGGAGCACGAGAAGGGATTCATTGGGCATCTCACCTTCACCGTCCTCTTCTCTGTCTTCGGCGTCGACGTCGGAATCATCCACACTGTCTTCTATAGCGGTGTCGCTATCATCTGGGCTTTGGTTGGCCTCCCTTTCATCGTTAATTTTGTCGTGTTTGGCGTTGAAAGCAGGTGCAACTTCCTCATCTGATTGATCGGTATCAGATGATGACTCGCGTTGCTGAGTAGCTTCCACGGGTCGTGGAGAATACTTGTGCTGCAGATAGTCGCGGCGCAAACGAGCATCCCCAGAGGCCCCCACCCTACCGGAACGGAAATTGGGCCCTTGTGCCATGTCGGTACGATGTATGCTATTGAGGTCGTGTTGTGGTGGTTTGTAAAACTTCCATATTTAGCAAGCAAAGAGGAAGGAGAGAGGAAAATTGCCCAGATGCAGAGGCTCTAAATGGGGGATTAGGGATAATGAGAGAAATCAGACGCCCATACACATAACCATTTCAATACCACTGTCGGTGAGTGCAATTTGGGACTGCCCTGACAAATTCCCGAGGCAGTGAAAGTGGAAAGTGATAGCGAGAAATGATAGGCAACCACCTACGATTTGACATAGCGACTATTTCCTTGGGGCTCAACGTCGCAATGTAAGACGCCATTGTTAGCATGCTCGCTTTCTCTAAGCAATTGCCTAATACAGGCGCAATACATTAATATGACCATGAATCCCTTCATCACTTACTCTCTAGAACGAGAGTCTTCCTTATCATCAACGCTATCCTCCTAGGCACAGGAAACATCCACGTCGGAAGGTTTGCGTACTCGAAACGATATTAAATGCCAGTGGACAACATCCGCAATTACGGAAACACTCCCGTCGACGATGCGGCTGAAGGCATATGGAGTAAATACTACCGACAAGTGTAGCGAAATTCATCAACCTTTTAAGACGATCTCCCTCCCTGTCCTCCGGAGTTTCTTCTTCAAAGTCTTGGTTCACGGGATTCTGGTCATCTTCACTATGGCTGGGCTGGAATGTGCTGGGCTGCGGCCGCGACCCTCTTCAACCCCATTTTTCTCCGCATCATCGTCCTCTCCCCAACCTACATCCAGACCCAGCATACGATTTTGAACTTTTGTCAACTTCCCCTCTATTATCTTACCCTCCCTTAAAATTTCCCTCATGAATAGAGTTGGCTTCTCAGTCCTCGATGACAAGGTCCTAGGTTTCAGGGACGTGGTTGTTATAGTAGTTGATCGGGAGAAACAGGAGATGAATTTGTTGCAGACGGGAAAGCCATCCACGGCTCGACTGCGTCATTCATAAAATGGCCACCGCATCTTCTCGCTTAACGTGAGAACATAGTATGGCATCTTAGGTCGCAAAGTAGCATTGTGTTCATGCTCTCCTACTCCCAGTACGGGATTTGATAGACGGAATCTACTCTGTTTATCCTCAACGTTGTATGATAATAAGCTGGAGAGGCTCCTTTCCCACCCTAGAAATTCTAAGCAGCATAACATTTCGTTTCAGACAGAACGTTCGACTTCTCCCACACCCTATGCCTCTTTAGTCCATGGCACGAGAACCGTCGGTCCAAAGTCCTGCGGCTCCTTCGTTTCGCAATGAACACCCATTCGAAGATCCATATCCAAAACTTCATCCCCCGTCGCAAATCGATACGAACGCGTCTCGCAGACCTCTAATCGATCTCCTTGCACCAAAAACGCCACGAATCCCCGATGCGTTATTACCACAATATTTTTATACGTAGCAGAAAGCTCTCTCAATCTTGTTCTAACAGTCTCTGCTCGTAATAGTGCTCTTTCCCGCGAATGAGGCGCATGGTCCCATTCCTCAGGACATTGGGAAAAGTCGAACTGGGGAAACTTTGCCGCTAACTCGGCGCGCGAGACACCCTGGTTGCAGATTGCGTCGTGGGCTTCGCGGAGGTCGGGCCAGATCTCGACCTTACACTCCGATATTCCAGAGCCGAGAAGATTCGGGAAAGCATTGAGAGCTGTTTGGATCGTCCGCGTCATGGGCGAGATGATAATAAGATCCGGAATAGCAGTAATTCTGATCTTTTTCGTAGCTTCATCTCCAGCATCTGTAAGAGGTGGATCGCGGTGTGGGTAACCGCGCTGGATGTTGTGGAGAGATTGGCCGTGGCGAATGATGTGGATTTTAGGAGTGCCCCCATGGTCAGTGCTGATTGGTGATTGACCTTGTCTCATGACTGTGAGAGGTGAGAGAAAATTCTGTCAAAGAAATGAAATCGTACGCTGGAAAATGTGTGATGGGGTAATGGCTGCCAGAATTGGCAAACTAGGCAGCAGCTTTTATCACAATAACTGATTAGTGAAGACCACGTGATACTTCTGAATAGCAGCTTAGTTCTGTATATAATAAAGTAGACGTGCATTTAGGTTACTACTGGCTGAAACGGGATGCAACGAGCTTTATTATTCATATCAGTGCATTCATTGATAAATTTGCGTTTCTATCAGAGTACCATCCCGGATGAGTACCCATCACTGTGAGAACGTACTTTTCAGCACGGCATCCTTCCTGATACTCATCCTTACGGATGGATCACCACTTTCCGTATAGAAGTCAGCTCTTCTCACGTTGTTGGGGCACAACACGGATAGTTCAAAAAGGGGGAGCACCCCGAATGTCGCTCCTCTATGTATACAATCTATATGTAACGATATGCTCAAAAGCGTCCAAAATACCCCTCGGCACTCAATTTTTAATATCGTTGAGAGCGAGAAAATTCGAGTATTGTCCGTTCTAGGGTCGCACAACCCCGCCACGCTGTAAAATCCGAAGGATACTCAAATAATAAGCAACTTAAGGTAGATGCAGATAGTAATATTTACTGTAATGCTATCTTAATCCTGTGCTAGAACTACGCTTAAACGTCCAGAAACCCCTAGCCTTTAGTACAGTAACTATATATTATTATACCCTATAATATAGCTCTTACCATCTATAACATTTTTAAAAAGGTGTTATCAGAGACTCAAGGTCTTACTATCGTTCTAGAATACCTTGTAGCGCGCAAATTTATACTAGGTCACCACTCTAACAAATTAACACCTCTAAACAAACGATTACTGCCACAACTAGTGTAAAATACCCCTCAAATCCTGCGTAATCATCGAGAAGGTACCCGAAGTCAACAAAGCCCTCAGCAAAAGAAAAGATCGCGCTTCTGGTACGACGTAGAACAGAGAAGATCATACTTAAAGACTTCCTCGTTAGATGAAGAATACCAGGTGGGACCGGCTCCGGATGCGAGCGCTGGGAGAGAGGTAGATGGTCGCCTACTTCCTCTGCTGCAGGGCATATAAGAACTTCTAGAACCGGACATTCAGTTGCCTTCAAGGGCAACACAGCGGTCGCACGTGACTTGTTCACGTGACCCTGCGTCAGGGTGAATGTGGGTCTTTCATACCCACGTCTTTCCTGTTTAGGACTAGCGCTCTTTTAGCTACTATATATTTACCTCTAAGTTCTCTAGAGCTCTAGAGATCTTACCCCTCACCACAATATACCTAGGTTGTCTTTCTATATGCCCTCCATCAGCTCCGTATAGGCTCACCTTGCGATAACAGCCTCCAGACCATCCTCAAAAAGCCACAACCGGTCACCGAAGCCATCATGTTTATGGAGCAAACGCTGCCCTTCATTCATTAGCCTGGGGGATTCGGAGCTCTCTACTGTGGCAGTAACACGCACGAATCCTGTCCTTCTCCTTCTCCTTCTCATACTAGGCAATCCCTGCTCAACGCCCAAAGAAGTTATTTAAAGTTCAGGCAGCGTCGCAGCATAGATTGGTTTTCTCACATTGAAGATGGCCTTCCTCCTCGCATATGTCACACGTCTCTGACCGCATGCAATCTCTTCGTCTATACTCGGGCCTCCTACATTTGCAGCACATGGCTAGTATACATCGCTCTTCGAACTGCGAGGCCATTATCCCGCCGCGTCCGAAAGTCAGGCTGTCCGCCTGCAGCAGCTTCTTCGCTTCCTTCTTCGCCGTTACTTTAACCACCACTGATACGTACTGTCCACTATGTCTCGGTCGCCCGAGCCACCCCTTCGTGCGTACATCTACTCTGTTTTCCGTTCTAAAGCGCTCCACCGCCGCGTTGCTCACTTTCTCCGCTCTCTACGTCCATCGCTAGCATCGCCTGGATAAAGTCCGCCACTGCGACAAATGAAACTATAATAGGCCAAAGAGAGAAGCTAAAGTGCCCTGCCCCCTCCAGGAACAGTAAGAAACGTGTGCGCCTGACAAGTCCCGGCCGTTTCACTACTTACGCGTCCATCTATCTCGTAATCTGCATAACAGTCGCTGCAGAGGTCGGTATCGATGCAAGCCTTGCATACAAACCGTTGCATACCTGCATAGAGTTGTCTACTGCAGCCATCGCATACAGCTCCGCTTTGCCCTGATTTTGACCCGGCGAGATGAAATTCACGCTGGAATGCGATAACTGCGTCGTCGTCCTTTCCACTCCAGATTAACATTCGGCCAAGAAGACCGAGAAAGGAAGGCAAAACCGTGCCGAACTTCTCGCAAAAGTTTTCCAGGGCTGCAATCATATCTCGGGTCTGTACGTCGTGGTTTAGATCAATCGGTTTGCTGTGTCGCTGCGCACCCTGCTCTTGTCGGATAGTCATGCAACGGTGGAAATAGACTTCGAATAGGCCGCTGATAGCATCCACCGGGTCCTCAGAGCAATCTAGTGCTCGGTGGTACATCGACTCTGCTTTGTCGAACTCGTCCTGATGCTTATAGAGGTCAGCGATAACCTTCGTGAGAAAAATAGTAGACGGATGTCGAGAACCGAAAGTCTGCTCGAAATCAGACAACGACTGCTGGCATAACTCCTCTTGGCTCTCTTTGGGAGTTTGAAGGAATAGTGCGGCAAATTTTCCAAGTGAGCGTTGTGTAAGATTGGCGCAGAGAATCTTTGAATGTGGGTGATAATCACCAAGGAGCACGATTATCTTCTTATATGCTTTCTTCAACATCGTAATTGATTCTTCCAGCTTGCCTTGATCGCCCAGCGTGCTGGCGAGGTTGTTCATTGCTGAGATGGTGTCAGGATGTTCTTCGCCAAGAATCCGCTTCCTCTTCTC